ACGACAGGTTGACTTCCTTGATCCGGAAGAAGACCCTGACACATACTTTTCGGAAGTAGATCGCTCAGATGGGGATCAGCTGATCCAAGTGAATCTAATTGTAAAACCTCTATCCCCTATACCGAGTTAACGGAGGGATAAAAGCTTTTAATCAGACAAGTAGCGTTTCAAGTAACGATTGAGAATTAATCAACAACTGAGGAAAGTATGTACATGATGGTCTACTATATATATGTTTCTGAAAGTCAGCCATGAGGCGCTGACTGAGCTAACATGCAGTAGCCATGAGGCGCTGACTGATGTTCTTTGTAATAATTCTAGACTCGTGTCACGTGGTGGTCACGTGATCTGATATAACTACGTGTTATGTTATCCGCGCTAAAGCAGCAGCTTAACATATCTTATCTGTCATGTGATCAGATATCAAAGAAATGAAAAAGGAAATTAGCGCTCAGATTAGCGCTTCTGGTTCAAGTCGTGACATTACCCCCTCTTTAGGACTTTCGTCCCGAAAGTAGGGGTCCATCTTTCCGTTTTCCCAATTAAACAATTGTTTTCGGACTCTAGTCGTTGTGAAGTTTTCGAAGGGTTGGAAATGTAATTGAAATCGGATCCGTCGAGGTGCACTAGGGTTGTTATCGTGGAATGTTTTTACTTTATCGGGTGAGTTGTTTAGATGTTGTTCGGGTTCCCACGTGCGTTCCTCTTTTGGATAGTTCTTCCAATGTACTAAGTATTCCAATTTCCCTCTTTTTAGACGTGAGTCTAAAACTTCTTCGACTTCGTATTCTTCTTGTCCGTCCACTATTACCGGCGGTATTGGTTTAGGTTTCTGTTGGGAAGGGAACTGTGGTTCTTTGTACGGTGTAAGCTTTATCTCGTTGAAAACTGGATGAATAGGCCTCCATGTCGGTGGTAGCGCTAATTTATATGCCGATTCGCCTATTTTTTCCAGTATTTCAAACGGACCGTGTCTCTTGTCGTCCAGTTTCTTAGCTGGTCGATCTGTTGAGATATTTGTCGCTTCTACGTACACCTTATCTCCTACTCTATACTCTATTGCTTCTCTTTTCTTCTTATCGTACTGCTTCTTCATCTGTTCAGCTGCCTTTTGCAGCGATTCTTCTGCTCTCTTCCTTGTTTCTGTCATTCTCTTTACGAAATCTTCTGCGTTTTCGTTTTTTACCCCCACTTTCACTACTTCCTGTGTTCTCGGATGATGTCCATGATTCAGGTAGAACGGGCTATATCCCGTCGCAGAATGTTGTTTGTTATTGTAAGAGAATTCTGCTAGGGTAAGCCATTCTGCCCAATCATCTTGTTTGTGGTTTACGAAGATTCTGAGATATTGTTCTATCTCTTGATTGATCCTCTCCGTCTGTCCATCCGTTTGTGGATGCCAAGCCGTCGATGGGTTCGCTTTTATCTGAAGAAGCGTATGTAGATCTTTCATGAATTTTGAAACGAATTGCGGTCCCCGATCCGAGATGATCTTTTCGGGTATGCCATGGTTCCGGAATACATGATCTCTAAATAGTCGTGCCACTCCTTCCGATGTGATCTCCATCTGCGTGGGAATTACCTTGATCATTTTTGTAAATCGGTCTACTACTACCATTATCATGTTATATCCATTTGATTCTGGTAGCGGTCCGATTAGATCTACTGATATGATCTGCCAAGGTTTATCCGGGATCTCATTTGGATGAAGCGGTGCCGCTTTCTTTTTATGGTCTGTTTTGGTTCTTTGGCAGACTTCGCATCCATCTACGTATCTCGTGATATCTCTGTCCATATAGGGCCACCAGTACTGTCGAGTAATTAGCTCCTTTGTCTTATATCTTCCTGGATGACCTGCAATAACAGAGTCGTGGTTTCGTCGGATAATCTCTTCCCTTAACGTGGCATCCTTCGGTACATAGATCCTGCCTTTGAATACTATGCGACCGTCCTCGTCTAGCCATCCATCCTCTCTCCTCTCTATCTTTCCTTTCATCTTTTTTATCAATTCATCTACATTTCCTTTTCTCTTTGTAATCCATTTTGAAATCTCTAATTCTTCCTCCTGACTATCTGCGATCTTTTGTCTTTGTTCTGGAGAGAGAGTCATTCTTACAAATAGTTTCTCATCCAGTAGTATGACGTCTTCGTTGTCGTTTTCTCCTTTGTTATGATCTGACCGCCTTGAGAGAAGATCTGCTTTTATATGCTTCCTTCCTGGCATATGATGTATCGTGAAATGATACTGGCTCAACTCTGTCATCCACCGCGCCTGTCTCCTGTTCAACTTCTTGGGTTCTTTGAAATACAGTAGATTTTGATGATCTGTCCATATTTCAAATTCCTCTTCTGCGTCTATCAAGTAATGCCTCCATTCGTTAAGTGCCGTCATGATGGCAAGAAGTTCTTTGTCATAGATCTCGTAATTGCGTTCTGTGGGGTTTAACGCTTTGGAGAGGTATGCAATTGGCTTCCAGTCATCTTTTTGTCTTTGTGATAATACAGCACCCATAGCGAAGTCACTACTATCCGCTTCTACTTTGTATTGGCCATGTGGTACTGGGAGAGCTAACACCGGGGCTGAAGCTACACGTTGTTTTAATGTGTTAAATGCTTCTTGTTGTTCATTTCCCCAAATGAAGTCCTCTTTTCCCGTTAACTTGGTCAATGGTTTGGCTACTTCCCCGAAGCCCTCTATGAACCTTCGATAGAAATTTACAAATCCCAAGAATGCTTGTATGTCTTTCTTATTTTTGCATTCTGGCCATTTGCTGATTCCTTCTACCTTCACCGGATCCATGCGAATTTCGTTTTCTGAGATGATCAGTCCCAGGTATTCCACTTCTGTCTGTTCGAAATCGCATTTTTCTGGTTTAAGATAGAGATGATTTTTTCTCAGGATTTCTAACACACGTCGCGTCGTTGCTCGGTGTGTTTCTATATCCTTTGTGAATATCATGATATCATCTAGATATATGATTACTAATCCTTCATCTATCAACTCTCTAAAAAGCGTGTTCATCATCATTTGGAACGTGGCGGGGGAATTTGTCAGTCCGAAGAACATGACTAGTGGTTCGAATAATCCCCGATTTGTCCTAAACGCCGCCTTATGCTCATCTCCTTCTCTCATTCGGATGTTATTATATCCCCATCTTACATCCAATTTTGTGAAGTATTTGGCTCCACTCAATTTGTCTACTAGTTCCCCGATCAACGGAAGTGGATATCTATTTTTGATGGTGATATCGTTTAGCTTCCTATAATCTTGAACTGGTCTCAACTTCCCGTCTTTCTTTTTAATGAAGAAGAATGGCGATGCAAATGGGGACTTTGATGGTCTGATCCGTCCCGATTCCAGATTCTCTTTTAGGAACGCATCTAGTTCTTCTTGCTCTCCTCTTGCCAATGGATAGATCTTGCAATCTAGGGAGTGATCTCCCGGTATTAGTTCGATTGCATGATCCCATTGTCTTCTTTCAGGTAATGTGTCGAACTCCTTCTTATCAAATACGTCTTTGTATTGATGAAGATGTTTTGGCACTATCTTTTCGAATCCTCCTTCTTTTCGATCTTTGCCTGCGGCTTCTGCTAACTTCTGTGCCATTGTGCCTTGGGCTCTGATGTAGTAATATTGATCGTCGATCGTGGCATCTTCGAAATTATGGAGATTCACCTGTATCATCCTCTCATCTTCTCGTAGTTCCTCAAAGAATATTTCAGGATCTTCCTCTGGATCAGAGATTCGGATCCTTGGTCTACATTCTTCAGGACACCTTTCAAAGGTCAACTTCGATTCTCTCCAGTCTATTTTAGGATTATGTTTGTTCAACCATTCATGTCCTAGAAACATTTTTCCGTTACCCAGATTGGTTACGGCAAGATGTATCTTTTCGACATGTCCGTCGATTTCCATGAGTAGTATTACAAATTCATTGATGGCTCCGTTTTTATTAAGAGTTCCATCTGCGTTATAGACTGGAATAGGTCTCGGTATCTTCCTTGTCTCATATCTTTTGTCTTTCACAAATTGGGAGTCGATGCAACTCCCCGTGCATCCACTGTCCAATAGTGCTTCGACTGTTTCTGTTTGGAGAGTATCTAATGTAGTAAGCTTACATTTTACGTTCATTTGATTGCCTTGGGTGCCCCTAATGTACTTTTTTGGGGAGGCAATTTCTATGATCGCTTGTATAGCTTCTACTTTTGGTAACCGGTTGATTTCTTTGATCGTTTCCCGGGTTACTTCTCTCGTTCTTTTTTTATGTGTCCAGGCACTTAGAATCCCAATGGATCTTTCTTCCTTTTGGTCTCTTAGCCTATCCACTACCCACTCTGGGGTCCAAACTTCTGTTCTAGGTTTTTTCAAAGGGGTTCCTGACCTTTCTTCTACAGTCTCTGCTGCGTTTTCCTCCGTAGAGTTCGCCGCATCGGGTGTAGGAATCTTAGGTTCTATCGTAAATGCTGCACTTTTTAGTGATTCGCCCGCCGTCGGAACTGCGGATGTCTTATCACTCTGCGCCGCTTTTACTCTAGTTGCATCTTTTTCGTTTCGGATTTCTTTCTTTGTCTGAGTGGAAATAATTTTATTGTTATCCGCGCTAAAGCAGCAGCTTAACAATTCTGAGTCACATGTATCTACAGTCAAAGGAAGAAACCGATTCGAAACGTCTTTAGGCTCAGTCGGTCGATGCGGTACCGCTGGCCTCTTTAAAAACCCTCAAGGAGTTTTTCCCTTTCCTCTTTCATCATCTTTTCCAGAAACTCTCGGACATTAAATTGTGGCTTCCTTTTTTGTGCGTCTTTGCACTCGAAGCTTCTACGTCCCTTTTCTCCGCATCGGTAGCATCGTCCTTCCGTGCGGAACTTTGCCTTGTCCACCTCCATTCTTTCTCCACTACCGGTATAGGTATATCCGGTCCCGTCTTTCTTCTTCTCTCCTTCTTTCTTTTGTTCCGAATAGGGTTTCTTCCCAGTATCGGAACCTTTCTTCTCTTTCTCTCTCTCTCTCCAAATATAGTCTATTCTGATGAGTTCCCTTTTCCACTCTTGGTAATCTCTTGGAATGTGCCCGCCGTAGATCACCCTATCCACTAGCGGTTTGTTCATATTCCTTCTGAGTAGAGATACTAGGAACTCTTCATTTATTCTATTTGTGTATCCCGCCCATCTTTTCTTCTCTTCAAACCTTTCAAAGAAGGCTTGGGCGGTTTCGTTGCCCTGTCTCAGGGTCAGTATTTCGTTCTTGGCAGTTTCTTTTTCAAAACTGTCCTTGAACCTTTCTTCCATTTTGTCCGCAAAATACGGCCAACTTCCGTACGTGTTTGTAATATCGAGCCCCAGCTGTTGGGCGTCGACTCGGTTCTCTAGCCAATCGGTCCGGAAGGCCGCGGCTTCTCCTTCTTTCATAAAAGATAGCACAAAGCTTATCTTCTTTCGATCATCTTTGAAATATACGGCATCATCTTCGAAATGCAGTAATAAGGACTCTCTAAAGGCCCTATACTTTTTCTTATCTCCGGAGAAGTTCTCGGGTTTCTCCAGTGCCGTTCTACTTCTTTCCACCTTTTCTGGAGGTGGCTGTATCTGTTTCTTTAGTTTTCTTTGCAAGACGCTCACTTCTTCGAGTGCCTCGTCTAGCTGCGATTGGTAGTGCATTTGTGTCTGTCTTATTGCCTTTTCTATTTCTTGTTTTACGTATGCTTCCAATCGCGCTTCTTTCGGGGGGGGAGTTTCTATTCTGGGTAATGCGTCCATCATTTCCCTGGTAAATGCGCTGTCCGTACTGTTGGATGGCTCGGGCAGATCGCGATATTCTAGGTTGGACATTGAGCGTGAGTTGGGGAGGAGGGGGAGTTTCGGATTTGATTAAAGGGGATGGGATTCTGATGGGTTCTATTTCTGGTAAAGGGAATTTCCCTTTGAATACGTAATCTTGAGAGTAAATGTGTTGCTCTCCGATCCAAATGTAAAAGTCTCTACTAAGCATAGAAAGGAGTTCACCAGTGATAAGCTGGATCGATACACCGCTTTCTAAGATCCTAGTAGTCTATCTATTTCTCTTTGAGTCAAAGTGGTCCTCTTCAGCCCACTACTGACTATGTAGGTATGGTAACTATTTTTGTATTTTACGAATTTTATGTAAAAGGTATAGTGATAAATTGGGGTCCGAACGGTTGTCCCAATGTGACCAGCTTATTAGGCTTTCAGTCCTTCTCCCGACTGGCGGACGCAAATGCGCGGCCTGGTCAGAGGAAATCGAAAAATGAAACTAGGTAAAACCGAGAAAATCTCAGTGGTTCCACACCAAAGAGATTATGATGATATAAATGTATTTAGAGGGGGATGGTTACGAAGGAGTCTTGGGATGAGGAAGGTGATACGTTGGCGGGAAAGAAAGATAAGATGGTGTCGGGGCGAGTAGGGATGTGATGGAGTGGAAGAGTAGTGGTGGTTTGGGTTGAGTGTTTGAGTAGGGTTAGGATTAGTAGGATGATGATGATGGTGATGATGATGGTTGTTAGGATTGTTGCTGTTAGGTTCATAAACGGTACTCGTAGCAGTTGTTGATTGTGTAAAACCTCTATCCCCTATACCGAGTTAACGGAGGGATAAAAGCTTTTAATCAGACAAGTAGTGTTTCAAGTAACGATTGAGAATTAATCAACAACTGAGGAAAGTATGTACATGATGGTCTACTATATATATGTTTCTGAAAGTCAGCCATGAGGCGCTGACTGATGTTCTTTGTAATAATTCTAGACTCGTGTCACGTGGTGGTCACGTGATCTGATATAACTACGTGTTATGTTATCCGCGCTAAAGCAGCAGCTTAACATATCTTATCTGTCATGTGATCAGATATCAAAGAAATGAAAAAGGAAATTAGCGCTCAGATTAGCGCTTCTGGTTCAAGTCGTGACACTAATGGACTATGAGGATGCTTCTATTGACGATCATTACTACCACATTAGGGCACAAGGCACAACAACCTCAGAAGCTCAACAGACGACAAGCTAGATGGGTTATGGAATTGAGCAACTATCACTTTACGCTCCACCACATTTACAAAACACATCAAAGCAGATCTTCTCTCGAGACGAGCAGACCATGAAAGGGGGGTGGATGACAATGAAGACGTAATCGTTCTAAAAGCAGAACATTTCCGTATGATGATTTCACACAATGAAAGACAACACATGGCAGAGCAATCAGCCGATGCAGTGGAACTGTACAAATGGATTTGCAAAAGAATGATGAACGTAGACGAAGTAGCGCGGAAGATGATAGAGAAAGGAGAAGACAGAGAGAAAGGAATTTGGATGGAGGATGAGATGTTGATCTTCAAAGGAAGAATCTATATTCCCAAAGACGGGAAATTACGAGAACATATCATTAAAGAAAACCATGATTCCACGGTAGCAGGACACCCCGGACAGTATAAAACCAAAGAACTGGTAACTAGATGGTATTGGTGGCCGTACATGGACAGAGATATCCGGAAATACGTAGAAGGCTGTGAAACGTGTCAACGCACTAAGATTAACCATCAAAAGAAAGCGGCACCGTTACACCCAAAAAATCCCGACTAGACCATGGGAAATCATTACCACAGACCTAATCGGACCGTTGCCGGAATCTCTGGGTTATAACATGATACTCGTAGTGGTAGACAGATTCTCGAAGATGATAAAAGTCATGCCAACTTATGACAAAGTGACGTCGGAAGGAGTGGCCAGATTATTTAGAGACAATGTCTTTAGAAATCATGGCATACCAGAGAAGATCATCTCAGATAGGGGACCGCAATACGTCTCCAATTTCATGAAAGATCTCTACAAACTCCTCGGGATAAAAGGAAATCCCTCGACCGCTTATCACCCACAGACAGACGGACAAACGGAACGAATTAACCAAGAGATAGAACAGTATCTCAGAATATTCATAAACCATAAACAAACGGATTGGGCAGAATGGCTACCATTAGCGGAATTTTCATACAACAACAAATCACACTCCGCAACTGGTTACAGCCCCTTCTTCCTAAATTCTGGACAACATCCGAAAGTCGCGAAGGGAATCAGAAGTACGGTAAAGACAGAGAGTGCGGAAGAGTTCGTGAAGAGGATGGAAGAGGCAAGGAAAGAAGCAGAAAAATCGCTGGTAAAAGCAGCAGAAAACATGAAAAAACAGTATGATAAAGGGAAAAGAGAGGCTATCGTTTACAAAGAAGGTGACAAGGTATATGTTGAAGCAGAACATATTACTACTGATAGACCTGCAAAAAAGCTCGACGATAAAAGACACGGACCCTTTACCATCGAAAAGAAAATAGGTGAAGGAGCCTATAAACTAAAACTTCCTGGACGATGGAAGAACATACATCCGGTTTTTAACGAGAAACTGCTAACACCATTCCGAGAACCAGAGTTCGAAACACAGAAAAAACCAAAAACCGCACCACCGGTGATAGTGGATGGAATTAAAGAATACGAGGTAGAAGAAGTTCTAGACTCACGATTGAAACGTGGGAAACTAGAATATTTAGTACATTGGAAAGACTTTCCTAAAGAGGATTGCACATGGGAAACCGAGTCAAACCTAAAACATTCATCGAAACTTGTAAAACAGTTTCATAACAAAAACCCTAGTGCACCTCGAAGGATAGAATTTACTCTAAACTATCAACCCTTCGAAAACTTTACTATTCCAACAAAAATTCGAAAAACATTGTACAATTGGGAAACAGGCAAACTAGATCCTCACTTTCGGGACGAAAGTCCTAAGGAGGGGGTAATGTCACGATCATACCCATCTGACTCAGCTTTCTTATCTAATCAAGAGATAAAAACTCTTATCTCACCTTATCTAATCTCTTCCTGATCTAATCTTATCAAGTATCACGTGATCTATTAGTAATACACATTACCAATCAGCCTCACTACATACACATGTTAGTTACCAATACGCTACGTCATACCTCCCCGTAGCCTCATGCCTTTTCCTATATAACCAGCACGATATCCATGTACATATCCCAGTTGTAGATTTACTCTTTTATACTTGCTTGTCTGAACACTTGTTGAGATTTAAGTCCTACGCTGCTCGGGTCACCGGCATACAGCTAGGGTCTTTACACTGGCCCAATTGGTGTTGAGGTTTACTACACTGTTCATCCAGTCTTTAATAGTTTTTAATTCTCCTGAAGTTATGGCTCCTCAGAGCAGCGGTGTGCAGATTGCCTTCTGATAGACCATACTCATGGCTTCGTTATTGATTCCACTTTTCCCCGCAGATAGCATCAACCTGGAATTAAATGCAACTGATTTTTTTTCTGGTTTCATTTTTATCTTCATGAGGGATGCTGAGGCTGTTTGTTTTGATATTTACTATTCTGAAGCTGGTGGTACAGGATTTTTATAAAGTGTGCCCATGTGGTGTTGTTGGTTTTATATCCTTTCACCTTGGCTTTGATCCAAGTTGCTGCTATAACATCTTTCATATAGCATAGCGCTATAGACCTTTTTCTTGTCTGAGTTGTAGATTATGTCATTGATTACAAAGATGCATGGAGGAAATCCATCTTTGCATGAAACCTAAATTATCAATGGTATTTCATCTGCAGACAGATGGACAAGCAGAGAGGCTTAACCAGGATATTTATTAATGACAGGCAAACAGATTGGGCCAAGTGGCTAAAGATAGCCCAGTTTTCATACAATATCAAACAGTTGTTGGCTACAGGGAAGGCACTACCCAAGGTTAGAAGGTTGTACCTCCCCAGAATAGGTGTAGAACCTGGTAAAAGCAAAAGCAAGGCTGCGGGAACTATGGTCAAGAACATGAAGTCTGTCTTAGATGCAACGTGCAAGGCACTATTCAAAAGTGGAGCAGATGAAAAACAGGGCAGAGCATAGACACTCTAAGGCCCCTGACTACAAGGCTGGTGACCTGGTCTGGTTGGATACCAACCACTTAAAATTAAAAGATTGGCAGTCTAGAAAACTGACCAAAAGGTGGATTGGGCCTTACTAGATTGAGAAAGTTAAACTAAATGCAGTGGTACTAGAATTCTTAAAATGAATGAGGGTAGTACCCATGGTTAATATCAGCTATGGGACAGCGTGTGGACCGGCCCGGACTGGTTATGCTAGAATATACTGTGACATACCAATACTCCATAGGATAATAGCTCTGATTTGTAAGCCAGCCCAGTATGCAACAGCTATACTGTATAAGATTTCTGTGGTTGCATGTCATGTTTAAGATCCTATATTGTATAACCTTGGCCATATAGCTCAATTGGTAGAGAAGCTGGCATGTATCCAAAAAGCTCCAGTTTCAATCCCTTGTCTGATCAATATCCAATCTTATCAGGTTGTATGTTAGTTTTGGTGATTCTGCACCTTTGTGCTACTTACATATTTTCATTCCTTTCTCTATCTATTCCTCTACCATTCAGTATTGATTGTGTTCTCTATTATTTCACCTTTGTGGCTCCTTTGTTTACTTTTGTTTATAAAACATCGGACAGTACTGCAAAGTCCAATGCTTTCTAGAGTCCAATGTGAGTAACTAGAGAATAGGAAGCATTGGACTCTGCAGTACTGTCCGATGCTTTGTAAACAAAGGTAAACAAAACAGCCACAAAGGCAAAATAATAGAGAACACAATTAATAGTGAATGATAGAAGAATAGATAGAGAAAGGAATGAAAATATATAGGTAGCACAAAGGTGCAGAATCACCAAAACTAACATTTAGACCTATCCTTGCGCTTTTTGAACCTCTCCATATCCTCTCCATACCGCCTCACCTATTAAGAACAAAGCTTGAAGGAAGTGTCTAGCCACTTGCTGGGAGCAATCAGGGACTGGATGTATATGGTGTAGTATAGGTTCAAGGAGAAAATGGCACACGTACCAAGTATAGTTGATCGCACATGTCCTGCATGTGGAAAACTTATGAAAACACCACAAGGTGTCATGGCTCACCTATCAATGTCAGCAATGTGTGCTTGATATAGGAAAGGAAAGAGAAGAGAACTTGAGGCAGACAACCTAGGCCCTGAACAAGTAGTATTTGATGAAGTCAACTTGGATGAAAATGTTTACGACCAAGAAGATTATGACTCAGATGGGTCAGAAGATATATTCCTCAACACTTACAAGAACCATTTAACAATTTCCTGAATGATCCTGCAATGCAAGGCAACACCCAGGATGACTTGAACCCTGACCCAGAGATGCAGGCTGGCAGTTCACATCACCCCCACTCCCTGCACTTTAATCTGGATGACAATGATGATGATGATGAAAGAGTAGTGGAACAAAATGAGAATGCTGGCAAGGTTATAAGGGTGGATCTGGATGCTCATAATAAATGGAGGGAGAGTTTTCACCAGTTCCATCAAGATAACAATGAAATGGACGTTGATCTTCCAGATAATAGATGGGCTCCATTTTCCACAGAATTAGACTGGAAATTTGCACATTGGGCATTGCAGGAGGGGATTGGCCAAAAATCTCTTGACAGATTACTGGCAATTCCTGAAGTGAGTGATGCCTCCACACTTTGATTCATGTTTTATGTTAACTGACCTCCAACCTTTACGCCAGCTTTCCCAGAGACTGGGCCTTTCTTATCAAAATAGCAGAAGCCTTCTAAAAATTATCGACTCCAAAATTCCTGAAAGGGCCAAATGGCACTCAAAATATCTACACTTTGATGATTGTCCAGAAGAAAAACACTTTATACAATATAGAGACCCCTTACAAGCCATTACTTCTTTGTTGGGCAATCCAGCACATGCGACAGACATAGTATATAAACCCTCAAGAATATTCACAAATAGCAACAGGGATGATTGTATATTTAATAAGATGTGGAAATGGTGGCATTCTGTACAGGTTAATATATTCACACCAGTGGTTCCTTTCTAAATTTCATACTTATTTCTTTGATTTTAGGCTCTTCTACCTCAGGGAGCATCTGTTGCTCCTGTTATAATAGCGACAGACAAAACTCAGTTGACTCAGTTCTCAGGCGACAAGTCTGCATATCCGGTGTATCTTACACTAGGCAATATACCCAGCTCTATTAGGCGCAAACCCTCTCAGCACGCTTGTGTACTTATTGGATATCTGTCTGTCAATAAAATGGTGAAAAAAGGCTTAACAACAAAGGAGAAGACAGCACGTGTTCAAAGACTTTTCCATGCCTCAGTACGGATGATTTTGGAGCCACTTATTGAGGCTGGACATAAAGGAATGGAGGTTACAGGTGGAGATGTGAGAAAAATTCACCCTATTCTTGCTTGCTATGTTGCCGACTATCCTGAGCAATGTCTGGTGACTTGCTCAAAGTATGGAACATGTCCCAAGTGCAGGTGTCCAGCAACAGACCTTGAAAATAAAGCAGCTGGGGAACCTAGGACGTCTGACTGGACTCTCTCTGTCATTAATCAAGCCTCATCTTCGAACTCAAGGAGAGAATTCTTTGATCAATGTATGGATAAAGATGTATCTGGAGGTGTTTACAGGCTATTTTGGGAAGGATTTCCCTACTGTGATAATCATCTTTGCATTACCCCCGACGTCTTGCATCAGTTATATCAAGGTGTCATTAAACATATTGTCCACATGTTGCCAAGATCTTATGGGTACAGAGGAACTGGATGCAAGAATATGCACTTTACCTCCTGCATATGGATTAAAGCATTTCAAAAATGGTTTATCGCCTCTTTCTCAGATATCTGGAGGCGAAAGAAAAGATATGGCCAAGATACTTTTAGGATGCCTTGTAGGAAAACTCCCCAAGCAGGCAATTATCGCAATTAGATCACTCTTGGACTTCATTTACATTGCTCAGTACCCCACACACAGCGATACAACCCTTGGATATCTATCAGATGCTCTCAAAACATTCCATCAAAACAAAGCAATTTTTGTCACTCTGGGTGTTAGAGAAAATTTCAATATTCCTAAATTTCACTCTCTACTACACTATGTCGACTTTATTCGCTGGTTTGGGGCTACAAATAACTACAACACAGAAATGTTTGAACATTTCCACATAGACATGGCCAAGGATGCATGGAGAGCATCAAATCATAGGAATGAGTGTCCACAAATGACTACCTGGCTTACAAGGCAAGAAAAAACTGTGTGGTTTGAATGCTATCAATTTTCTTTACAAAATAGATCAGTTCTACGTCAGCAAGATACTCTCCAGAATTCGTCTGGCTTAGGTATTAACATAGCCAAAGTATCTCCTCTTCCACAACAACCCCTTCAATCAATTCAACAAAACCACCAATGTCATGGCTTCATACGTGATATCAAGGAGTTTCTGAATCGCCTAATACACGGTCAGCCAGGTTATATGTCCAGAAATCAAGTCAATATTGCAAATGTCCCATTTGATTCACTTGACGTATTCACTAGTTTCAAACTCACTCCAATTCACCTTGGAGATAATGCTAGTGCAAGTGTAAAGTACAAAGTCATCAAAGCAAGACCTAGGTCCAAAGGAATTGCTCCATAGTTTGATAATGTTGTTGTATTAGACTCATTAGAAGCAGAGTCAACAGGTGTTGCTGGTAATATTTTTTTCTAATTTCAAGATCAGTTTCAAGTTGTGAATTAATATTTCATGACATAGGTACACATGTTGGAAGAGTTAAAGTAATCTTCAAGCTTCCTGCCATTTTTCATGGTGGTTTTGTTGGTATACCAAAACATTGGCCCAAAATTCCATTGGCGTACATTGAATGGTACACCAAGTTAAAAGGTAGTGCAGATCCAGCACATATGATGTATGCGATTACAAAACCTGCACTTGGAGCTGATGGTACTCCACCAGCTTCCATAGTACCATAGAGCAGTATACAACAAGGCTGCCACTTGTTGCCTTTGTTTGGAAAAGATCAAGTGCCTGCTCACTGGGGTACAGAAAATGCTTTGGATGTTTGTGATAGATTTCTATTAAATAATTGGGCTAGTTTGTATGCGTACCAAACTATTTGGTGAATATTAATTCTATCATTATTAGTATCAGAAAAAGGTTCTCATAGACATAAATGAGCTGGTATAGCTGTTATAGCTGACATAGTAACTATAAGGCTTCACATAAAAATTTATTGGCTATAATAGGAATTTAATAGCTATCATAGCAGCTATAGAAACATATCCAGCTATATAGCAAAATGGTTTTTCCTGATGCTGGTCGTTGAGCTTGAGACTGTTGGAACTTGACCAGTAAATATAATTTTTAGTTTTTTTAGCTGCTTATGTAAAAAAATAAGCAAGAACTTAAAGCATTGAAGCAGTGGAACAAAACCGAAAAGGTGACACATGTTTTGGAATGGTTCTGCAATTTCTGGTTACACTGGGTCACAGTGGCACTCATAGACAAAATCAGGCGGATCTTACTAGTCAAATTCCGCCAAGTCATACCAAGCCCCGACACTGGTGGTATGTGCGGTACATACCAAAGCAGTGTCGATGATGAGAACTGTTGTTAGAAAACCACACACAAAAACAAACTAACACACAATCCTCCCAGATTCCACGGAACTTGTTTATGGGCTTTGCCTCCTAGAACAGTGGAGTGGTCTGGTTGTTCGTGGGGTGGTACGTATAAAGATCCTTCAAAGTAAAACCCAGAGATGTATGAGTGTGGGTTTTGAGGAGGAGGGATAGTTGAATTTGTAGAAGATAGGGGGCTTAGTGACGAGTATAGATGAGCACTACCTTGCTAATCGTAGCACAAGGTAGGTTTGAGAACGACAATATGATGAGGTTCCCAGTGATAGCAGGCTCCTGACGCACAAACTGTAGTGCTCAGAAGGACTCTAATCGAAAGGGATGACAATAACTTCAAAAATGGGAAGTGACGATGACAGCAGTTGACAGTAGTAGAAGTGGGAAGTGTTGTGACCACACTGGATCACAAGTAGCAGAGTAGTGAACTTGAGAGTAGAGAAGAAGTCTGGATTGGAGTTCTTGTTGTTTTTACAAGGTAAAATACAGGGGTTTATATAGTAAAAGAGAAGTAGGCTATGCACAGTATAGCTGTGCAAAAAGAATGAGAAAGAATATGAAGGAAGGAATGTACGCTGACGAATCCTGCGTAGGTAGTACAGGATAAGATTGTCAAAAAAAGAAAAGAAAGGGATAGAACAATAAATGCTGTGAGTAATGTCACAGGTTTGTACAGCCATAAAGTAAAGTCCAATAGCAAAAAGAGAGCAGGAAGATCATGATGTCATGGGAAGATGCAGTAAAAAAAAGGGCAAGGCAAAACACTATCAGTATCAACACAGTTCCTTTATTGTCAGTCAGGCATTCTAAAAAAATATGTGTCCATAAAAATGATTCAAAATTCAAAAATAATCGCACTGTAAATGAATGTTCTGCTGAAAAAAAAGAAACTGGAGCCACCGGTCCACCACCTAGTCCAAATCTGATAGTTCCATGGCCTTACCAATGGACTGGTTGTGTTGGACCACCTGATCAAACGAGGGAGGGAGAGAAGTAGTTCCAATTTGGAACAAGTGAGTCCCAGGCAGCGTGTGGTAGGTGTAGCTGTAGCGAAGACGATGGACAAAAGATAAGTGTACCCAAGTGAATGGGACAGCGATGAACATGGGCGACGCAAGGGGATGAACCTTCTCCAGCTCAAAAATTACCCACCCACGCTCCAACCAGGCAAGACGAGCGACCGATGTTTTGATAGTATATGATGGCAGATCGACGTCATGAAGATGGACCTGTTGCCCTATTTGGACCGGCCGCCGGGGCTTTGCTGATATCAGCAGTGGCACGTGGTAGTCAACGGATCGGCGATGGAAGCGGATAGGAAGTGGTGACATCAGAAATGGTGGGGGTGCAAAGAAGATGAGGAGGAGGAGGGTGGAGGTGATGGAAAAGTGGATTAGAATGGGGATCCAGAAACGACCGTCGGGTGAGAATAAAAAGGAGAGGAAGGGGCCCATGGTGGGGCTAGGCAAAGGAAGGGGAGTAAGGGAAACGACAAAAGCGAGGGCGCAATGCAATGTGTAGCCAGTGGCGACGCAAAAATTTGCCGAAATGCCGAAATGCGGAAAGTACCGAATGGAAAAGCAAAGGTGAGCGTGACTGGATTGCCTAATAGAGGTGGTGCTGATCAGCCACAAGTTCAAAAAGGGCAATATTAATTACTATTCCACGTGGCACTGTGCCTGTGTGGTGCAAAGGTGAGTCTTTTTGAATATTCGCTTCGTTATTGACACCTGTCCATGCTACCAATCAACTTTGGTGCATGACAGCGGAGCTAGTGGTCTTTGATTGATTATCTTGGTGTGTGATTACCTGTTTCAATTGCCTAGTCACGACTTCATCATTGTTTTCATTTCTTCAGACACTTTGAGGCCCCAATCAGCTCAGTAAGTATCTGGCATTGTAGGGGCCTACCTATTGATGTTTTCTAGAAAGATATTGCGATATTTCCAGCACAAGGTCTGGTCAAATCTGGTCATCTTTCCTTTCAAATTCACATTTCTGGTGTAACAACCAAGAGTTTCTTACTCTGGCGCACAACTTGAACAAGCAAAAGAGAAGAGAGGAAGGGATCACCCCTTAGGTTTCAACGGGTTTGTTGTGCTAGACAACAGGAGGACTCGCTGAGTCCTTCCCCATGTATTGCTCCTGTATATATACTAAAATACATGAGGTACTGTACAGTTGTAAATAAGGTTTAAAGTCCAATGCCTAGCATGTGACCGGTCACATGCTAAGTCTAGACACTGGTCAGGTGTTGTGTCACATGACTTGGTCATGTGACTATGAAAAGTCGAAAATGTAGAATAAAGTAATTGGTCACATGACTGGTCATGTGACTTGGAAAAATAAAAGTAAAAGTGCAAAAAGTGAAGTGTAAGTAGGTACTGGTACATCAATTGTATGGGTTCAAGAGCATAGTGTCAGGTCTGTTGTTGTTGCTACAGATAAGCTATTCTCTAAATTCTTTCACAGTTATATTCTCTATACTCTATTCTACATCTGACAATTTTCTAGCTACCTGTACAGTGATCTTTGAGCCTCTGGAGGCCCAAGTGCATATCTCTTACCAGTTGCATCGGGTGTCCAACGATAGTACCCTCCCACACGTTAGTGTGAGTCAGGGAAGACTTTGTCTCGCCGCTGACTGTCACAGGCCAAGTCACGTCATGTGATGGCGTCAATTGTGGACAAGGTCTATGTTACGCGTCTGTCCATCACTACCCTGTTCACCATGACCAACGCCACACCTTCATTCACGATTGATGCAAAAAATAAGTCTTACAAACATCAATTCTCGAACATCTACTTTACAAGATTGACGATGCTCAGGAAAGCAGTGGAGCAGCGCGCAGAAAAGAGATGGAAGAACGTGGCGGGTTCGCATTGTTATGACCTTTGTTGAAGTTCATATCATGACATTTTTCAGGTAAACCCACATATGTGAGACGTGTGCTTGACGTTGTTAAGTCTCAGCTATGTTGGATAGTGGGGACTGTATACATAGATATGCCATTGAAACCCAACGTGCTTCAGGACATCGGCCGAGATGTGAGTAGATTCCCAATCAATCTGACTGTGATTCTGACTTGGGCTCATAGCACTCAATTGCCCCTCCCCCTCCTCCTGTTAAGTTCAATTCAGATAAAGACGTCGTCATGCTTGAAGATGAATCTGGGCGCATTACACTTGTAGGCGAGAAGGTAAAGGTAGCGTGCCTCGTTACAGGCGTCATTGTCGCAGTGCTTGGCGTCGAAACACTGAATGGTGAATTTGAAGCCATCGACGTGAGCATTGCTGGCCTGGCACCATTTTGTGAAAACGGGGGTGAAGTGGAGGATGTCATGAACACAGAAGGTATATCATTTCGCCGAATACTGCATCTATTGAGACTCCACGATTGTCCCATAGAACCTGATTCCTTACCGCCGCAGATAGATGAGTATATTGGTATTGTGTCTGGGCTGCAGATTGGTTCGCCCTCACCTATCGACGCCCAAATTCAGATGCTTGTAGAGTTTCTTGTTGGTGAAGCAGGCGGCCCTGAGGACCGCAAAATTGCGGCCCAAGTGTCATGCCTCGTGATAGCTGGGAATTCTTTGGCTATCCCGATCTCCAAAGAGACTGACAAGGATGACAAGAAGGACGTACGTATAATTCTGGTCTTCCACAGCTGGAATGGGAGCTGATAAACGAGTATATAGCGACGTTTCAAGAAGGCTTCCTCCCATGCCACCTTTTCCCCCCATCCAGCTGCTATGCTAGCAGCGCATTTGTTGGATCTGTCGTCCGTCCTTCCTGTGCATATTTTGCCTGGCCCCGACGACCCAGCAGGTGCAATCCTTCCTCAACAGCCTTTCCCCCGTGCAATGTTTGGCAAGGCTTCATCGTCAGAGACATTCTACTGTGAAACAAATCCAGTGTGGCTGAATATAGAATGCGAGAATACAAAACATTTACCCCCCAGCAAAAGGACGAGTACATCACGATCAAAATCATCATCACTACATTTGAAGCGCAATATCCTCATCACATCGGGTCAGCCAGTACTTGATATGTACAAGTATCTCTCTAGCCCTCCATCGACTTGCCTCAGCATCGCTATGTCGACTCTGATGTGGCAGCACATCGCACCCACCGCGCCCGACACACTGTGGTGTCATCCGTTTCGCGATCGCGATCCTTTCGTGCTTCATCAAACACCAGATATATATGTTGTGGGTAACGCACCAGAGTTCGCCACTGCTTTAGTGAGGTCAGGGGACGAGGATGCTAAAAAGGAACAGCGATGCAGGGTTGTTCTCGTTCCGAGCTTTGCGGAAACAGGACTTCTCGTCCTCGTTAACCTCAGGACACTCAACGTCAGATGCGTTGGCTTTGGGCTTGAGGGTACGAGTGCCATGAAGAAAGAGCTTGACAGCGAAAAGGAATGAATGCGTAAAGATCACTTCCCAAGCCAAAATATGTCGACATATAACACAGGTGTTACGTACGGGATCGCAAACAATCTTACTATCTACTTCGTGTAAGTTGAAGATAGATAAAAAAACAAAAGTGGTCTCAAGAAGAAAATAGGCTTATCTCAGTGATATCTCGGATTTTGGCAAGTATCACTCGAATTGTTTTGTCTGGTGTGTATTGCGTAGCCTTCAGTTGTTGGTCTGTCAGGTAACCAGGTCTTTCACGTACAATTCAACACTGGCACGACCTAGTTGCTCCAACCTTCCTTACTTTTGACATGTGCAAATTTTGCCATGCCACATCACTTGCCTTTGACAAGCCAATCTTTGGGTAGCTCTTTTGACTTCCAATTGCCCCACTGAACATGGTGATGGGTCAGGATGTCTATTTTCCCCTGTGTCAGAACTGTGACCTTTGGAGTTGTTGGAGTCCAGAGAGTGGAAGGGCAAGAGTGAGTACAGAGTAGTGGAATGGAGTATGAGATTGGGGGCTGACTTAGCCTGTGTGCTAGACCAATCCATGGACTTTGGTTCCTAACTCAACGACAAAGTGAATGAGGGGGGGTATCATATCTGTACCGGAAGACAGAACTCCGGCAGTTCTGAAGGAGTTATGCTCTGGACCCAAAACCCCTGAACCAACGGTATGCTCGGGATTACATTCCTCATGGTCTGCCGGTTGGTATAACTCTGCGCTTCATTCCCACATGATACTCTGGTTGTCCGCTCCAATACTCCTGCACCGGACTTCTAGTTTGCCATACATTTTTCCTTGCACATTCTAATATTCCTCATGGACTCTGTAGTTAGACCTTATAATACACTTCTCGCACATACATTCTCCTCTCGCTAGATAATTGTCCACATGAAACTCTGTACCTACATTATGAGTTACTCCTTACAAGCTCCTGCTCCCCCAACAGTATATAAGCTGTAACTCCTGTACTCTGTTCCTGTAGTTCAAATATCAACTAGATTCCCTCAATTTCTTACCAATCCTTTTCTGAAGTCCTTTCTGATCCTTCTCCGAAGGATATTTACTCTGCTCCCTTTCATCCTCTACTTCTCCTCTGTCCACTTCCAACGAGTTAGGGATCAAGGTCTGTGGAAGGGTCTAGTGCACGAGCTAAGCCAAATCCCCATCTCGGCCTTTTTACTCCATTACTCCATCCTTGTACTCTGCAGCTCTGCTACTCCGAAGAGGCCATGGTTCTGACAGGGAGAATATAGGATTCTATAAGAATAGAGTGAAGACCCTTCGGAGAAGGGCCAGAATAACCTAGAAGGAGACAGACTTTGTAAAAAAAGTAGGAAACTAGTTAATAACTGAAATGGTGGAATACAGTGACTCCAAAAACCCTTTCTATGTTGACTCTGGGTATCATGCATGAAGCATACCATCAAACAGTTTGAGTATTACACTTAGTTTTGGTAAATTTTTTAAATAGTATATACTCTTGGCTATAAAATTTGCCCATAGGTCATGTGATGTGGTTCATATGCTATGGAGATATAGTCAATTTTAGACAGCAACACCATGGAAAGGGTTTTTTCACTTTTGAATTGACAAGGGTATTTGGATATTATCGGTACTTGGTATAGCTAGGCATGCTTTCAATCGATTTCTGACACTGCTCAGCTGGTATCTTCTCCTACACCAGTTTTTTCCACAATTCATAAGTGTCAAAACTGTGACCCTTTGGAAGAACAGAGTTGGGAGTACAGAGGTGGGGAGTGGAATGGAGTACAGGGTTGGAATTGACTTAGCTTGTGCACTAGGCCCTTCCACGGACCTTGGTCCCTAACTTATCAGAGTGAAATGGATGAGAGTAAAGGATGAAAAAGAGTAGAATAAAGGTCCTTTGGAGAAGGACTGGAAAACTTAAAAAGGGACTTGAGTAAAGGCAAGGGAATCTAGTTGATATTTGAACTGCAGGAATGGAGTACAGGAGCTACAATTTATATACTATCAGAGAAGTGGGGGTTTGTAAGGAGTAACTTATAATGTAGGTATGAAGTTCTATGCGGATAACTATCTAGCCAGGGGAAATCATATGTGGGAAGAGTGTACCATAAGGTCTAAGCTATGGAGTCCATGAAGAGTATGAATATGCACATAGAAAATATGTGACGGACTAGAAGTCCAGCGCAGGAATATTAGAGCAGATATCTGGAATACTGTGTGAAGGTGGGGTGCAGGGTTATGCCAACTGGCAGGACATGGGGAGTGTAATCCCAAGAGTACCAAAAATTTGAGGGGTTCAGACTTGAGGAATGCCCTTTTTGGAGATTCCAGGAGTCAAAGAGGCCTCCCCGGGTGTACCCATAGAGAATTTGGGGAAATAGATGCCAATGCAATCTATCCTGGCCCCAAGTACATTGCTAGAATGAGGGAGGCAAGTTCCTCTCTTGCCAGGGGAAGTTTTGGGTGCTATGGCAAGGCTGCCATTTCTGTCCCCCAGCCCCTTTCTCATTTGTACCTGGGATGCTGTTGATTCCCCCTTGAACATCACACTCCCCCGCACCAACACTCCCTTTGACTTCCTGTCCCTGCTTTTCCATCCTGCCCCCATATCTTCTCCCAGCTCTCCCATTCTATTCAGGTAGGAAAAAACACCTTTAGATATTGCCGGCATTCATTGTCTTTCCCCTGGGCCTCTTCCTTACTGGCCTTTTGAGGTCCAACAAAGGGATTTGCCTCAGCTGCCTAGACCCCATACACCCCCAGGAGGCAATGTCAATGATGAGAACTGTAGTTAGAAAACCACACACAAAACAAACTAACACACAGTCCTCCCAGATTCCACAGAACTTGTTTATGGGCTTTGCCTCCTAGAATAGTGGATGCTCTGGTTGTTCATGGGGTGGTATGTACAGTATAATAACCCTTCAAAGTCAAACCCAGAGATGTATGGGTGTGGGTTTTGAGGAGGAGAGATAGTTGAGATATAGAGGATAAGGGTTTTATGAAGAGTATAGACGAGCACTACCTTGCTAATTGTAGCATAAGGTAGATTTGAGAATGACAAGGTGACAAGATAACAAGGTTCCCAGTGATAGCAGTGGGAAGTGTTGTGATCACACTGGATTATAAGTAGCAGTAAGAAGTGGACTTGAGATTAGGAAAGAAGTCTGGATTATTGTTTTTACAAGGTAAAATAGAGGGGTTTATATAGTAAAAAAAAGGTAGGCTATGTACAGTATAGCTGTGCATAAAGAATGAGGAAGAACAGGAAGGAAGGAATGTGCACTGACAAATCCTACATAGGTAGTACAGGATAAGATTGTCAAAATAAGGGAAAAAAAGAGATAGAACAATGAATGCTGTGTAAGTAATGTAACAGGTTTGTACAGCCATAAAATAAAGTCCAATAGCAGACAAAAAGCAGCAAAATTATGATGTCATGGGAAGATGCAGTGAAAAAAGAGGGCAAGGCAAAACAATATCAGTATCAACACAGTTCCTTTATTGTCAGTCAGGCATTCTAAAAAAATATGTGTCCATAAAATGATTCAAAAATCAAAAATAATTGGCTTGCAAATGAATGTTTTGCTGAAAAAAAGGAACTGGAGCCACCGGTCCACCACCTAGTCCAAATCTGATGGTTTTATGGCTTTACCAATAGTCTGGTTGTAGTGAACCACCTGGTCAAACGAGGGAGGGAGAGGAGTAGTTCTAATTTGGAACAAATATGTCCCAGGCAGCGTATGGTAAGTGTAACTGTAGCAAAGATGATGGACGAAGGGTAGATGTACCCAAGTGAATGGGACAGCAATATACATTGGTGATGCAAGGGGATGAACTTTCTCCAGCTCAAAAACTACCCACCCACGCTCTAACCAGGCAAGACAAGCAACCAATGATTTAATAGTGGGAGACAGCAGATCAACGTCATGAAGATGGACCTGTTGCCCAATTTGGACCAGCCACCGGGGCTTTGCTGATATTAAAAGTGGAACATGGTGGTTGACAGATTGGCGACAGAAGCAGATGGAGAGTGGTGACATCAGGTATGGTGGAGGAGCAAGGCAAGTAGAAGTAGGGTGGAGGTGATGAGAAAGTGGACTAGAATAGGGAGCCAGAAATGACCATCAGGTGAGAATAAAAAGGACAGTAAAGGGCTCATGGTGGGGCTAAGTAAAGGGAAAAGGGTAGGGCAAAAAAACAAAAGCAAGGGCGCAATATGTAGCCAGTGGTGACGCAAAAAATTGCCAAAATGCCAAAATGCCGGAAGTACTGAATGGAAAGCAAAGGTGAGTGCAAGTTAATTGCCTAATAGAGGTGGTGCTGGTCAGCCACAAGTTCAAATAAGGCAATATTAATTATTATTCCACGTGGCACTGTGCCTGTGTGGTGCAAAGGTGAGTCTTTTGGGATATTTGCTTCATTACTGACACCTGTCCACGCTACCAATCAATTGTGGTGTATGACAGCGAGGTCTCTATTGCTGTCACTCCTTAAAGTGATAGCTGGGACCTCATAGACTTCAGTTTTACATCCCTGACACAGCAGTGGTGTAACAACCAAGAGTTTGTTACTCTGGCGCACAACTAGAACCAACTATAGAGATAAATGATGAGGGAGTGGTTTACCCTTTAGGCTTCAACAAGTTAGTTGTGAGGATATAACAGGAGGACTCGCTAAGGAATCTCCTTGATCTATTGGGGTATATATACTACTACAGGTTTGTTTGTACATATATACTGTATAGTTGATGAAGGCAGTGACTGATGATGTCAAAGGGCACAGCCCGTGTGGCCAGCTTCACTGCGTGAGAGACTTGTATCTAAAATAGAAAGAAACACAGTGCAGCGCGAGAAAGTGGAGTTTGAACAAAAGAAAAAGTGCTGCATGGCACAGAGTGTGAAAACTACAGTAAAAGGTTAAAGAGGAGAATGAAAATTAAAGGTCCAAAAATGTGTTATCGTAACAAGTGGAGCTTCTCTCTTTTCTTGGAAGAAAAGGTAGCAAGGGTGGAGTGAAGGCAGAAAATCATTAGGGATCTTTATGAGAGGATCAGCAAGCTAAAAGATAAGGTAGCAAGGTTAAAAGTAAGAGGGACTATAATTAGAAGAGATAATTATAGAAGGGATTTATATTATAAATCTTAATTTGTTTTCTTTTTTTTTTCAACTAGATTTTATTTGTATATACTTAGTTTCTCCTCACCACCCACTGTACATCTACTTACTTGATTCATACAGATTTGAACTACCCACATTACTCAGTGTGATAATGTGTGATAAGAAATAAGTCTGAGAACTCTACCCAGGACCCATCAACACGGCCTGGGACCTGTCTAACTTTAACTGATTGATAAGCTATCTGTAAGTGGTGGCTGGCAACATGAGAACATTACTGTATAAGAGGTATACCTACTATTAAACACCTCCTGGGTTTCTTTACCTTTAGTGTCCGATATACCTTGATGTCTTTGGCTTGTTAAAGCCGCTTCACTGGACTATTACCTGATCTTATCCTGTGTGCAATATTACCGGGTTCCTTATATACAATATCTCCTCATGCCTATGTTTAGTGAGACTCTGCATTGCCCTTGTTACCATCCTGGGTAGTGGCTTTGTCTTGTTAGGGATAGTACTGCAGTGGTCATGTCTCTGTAGAATAGAATAATAGTCATGTCTACCATGGCAAACTCAATGTATGACCATGTCAAATTGTTATCCTCATCAGCGGATTGGATTGTATGGAGGTCTGGGAGCAGCATTCCTACCGCTAAATATATTAGTGCTATAGCAGCATGGCCCCTGATACCTGTGTGGCCATCCCGAGACCTTAAACAATATAGATAAGGCTACACGCAGGGCCACCTTAATAACTTTTGGGTTCCATTGCCTTGGTGAATCTCTAATGAAATCATGCTGCGGATATAGCCCCATGAGGCCCATGATGGCCAATAGTCCAAGTAATTATTTGGCTGGCCATTTTTCTGGGAGTCAGGCCTGGGCTCACCCTTTGGCAGTTGGTAAATTGCATCCACCAACTTCAGGTATTCCTCCTTAGTACATAACCCAGTGAGGAACTTTCTCTGAGACTTGTGTGTAATAAAAGTATGTTGGGGGCTGTCCTTGTCTGCTTCTTCTATACCTACAGATTTCTGCCTCAAGATAGAAGAAGCCAGGACAGAGTAATAAATCTAAGTGAAACTCAGCCGCTGCCTAAAAGGCTATAGAAATAACTGAGGTATTCCTATACTAAACTCCCTACTACTTATAGTTGTAGGTGCTACTCGCTGCAGTATAATGACTCCCAGGAGTACAATTGTGCTTCTAGAAGAACAATGGTGACTTCATGGAGTGGTGGCTATGCTCCATGGAGAATAATGGCTGCTTTATCAGAGACCAGGTTTATCCGGTTTTGTCACAAGGTTGGGCATCTGTTTGGAGGCCCAGGCCTGGATGTTGATTCCTAGGAGGGTACCATTTGTTGCTTTGCAGCTGGTTTGGAAGGCCCAGACTGGTTCTGAATGTAAGCACTGCTTTTAATATTACTTATGATTTCAAGAAACCCCTCAATCTCCTTTTGTTCCTTGTTGGTGGATTTGCTTCTTGGTGCAACCATTTTTGCTCTGGGAAGGGCTCTTTTAATTGCTGCATTCTCTTTACCCTTCCTTTATTGGCTATCAGGTGCAGACTAGATTTGAACCTGATGGTAACTTTAACATTTATATTGTTCTGCTGGTTATACCAATAGTCCAACAGACCCCAGGTCTACTCTTTTGTCATATGTGATGGTTCCCAAAATTTATACCACGGATGTATATACCCCTTTCACAAGTTAATTTAGTCGTTTGGGCGCTCTGCAAGACTGGTTCAAAGTACTGAAGCCTTTATGTTTCCAGTGGCAATCTGGTAATATGTTATTGGGAAAGACCTGACATTAGCCTGTAGGTCTGAAAAGGTTGCTGGGGATAACAGATTCTCACCTACAAGGATGGGATATCTATTGTCATTAAGTAAAAGCTTGATTGTTTTTTTTTGGTTGCTTGGTAGGCTCTCCTTTGGAACAAACCCATCTATATTAGCTACATACAGTTTAGTACTCTGAGGTGTTTATTAATTAAGATAGAAACTCACTAAACTGACTTTGTGCATACTTGCCCCAAGCCTCTCATATCTTTATATTTTGCCAATTGGGTTGTACCTTGCTAAAAAGCTCAAACCCGGCTTTGTCATTTTTCTCATGGCTGAATTCAAGCAATCAGTTTCAGTAATAACACACCTGCATATGGTCACATTTGTATCTCTATGGGCAGTGAGTACAAAACTCAACATTCTCAGATCCTGGCTTGCTTGCATCTGAAAGTCCTTCACAACTTTCCTACCCTTCATTCCAGCAACTCTGGGTATCTTGAGTCATTATTTGTCTCAGGTAAGTAAAAGATATCATACTCACTTTTGTCTCACTTCCTCTGATAGCCCATTAATATACTACTCATCATGCTTTTAATTCAGCTAGCTCCTCCTCACTGAGCTCAGTCAACATTGCCTTCAGGACACTCTGCAGTTAACCAATATAATCTGACTGCCCCATCTTTACTCTGTAAAGGTCCCACATTCATCTCTCTACCTCTTTTTTTTTCACTACGTTGAGCAATTGGTTCCGACATAAATACTTTCTATGCCCAGCAATCTTGTTCCCGGGCTCTTTGTTACCACTGTGGTTATACAACCAACACCTGACCCACTACAATATTAACTGTAAACATGATAATATACTTTGATAATTAAGAGTGATTATACTTCTTTCATATCTGTTAATTTCTTGACATTGGTTAGTACATGTTCCCCCCAATTTTCCCTGACTTCATTCCAGGCATCATCAAGTACACTTGCCCATTGTTAAGAATTTACACCCAAGAATTTTTCTAAATATGTATTGAATATTTCAATTTGGGTGTCATTAAAAGGTACTTCAGACATTATTAAATGTGGTACAAGTCAAAAAGTGAGGTGCGTGTTTGAAGATAAGTGCTATCTTTCTCTTTTCCGGTCAAGTGCAAATTTTCTGTCAATTGGATACCACATTCATCTATTCCAAGCAAATATTCAAATATTTGGCTTATCAGATCTGAGCAATAATATCATTGTCTTGACTCCATACCAGGTCTTTGGCTAAGGCCCAGAACATATCAGGTACCTCCCAGATAATGCTTTCCCTAATATATTCCATATAAGGAAATTTAGTGCCAGATCTATTAAGTTAATTAGCCTTGTGAGGCCTAGGTGTTATAAAAGCTAACACAAATTAAAAGCATGGGCCCCATATCAATCACTGCCTTCTATCATAAACATTTTGTATGAGCATCTTCAATCTGGTGCCTGGTTTAACAACATCATCTCTTCTTTGCAAAATTATTTAGTATGGGCTGCAACTCTAGAAGCTGCCTGTTGGCTTTCTGCTTTTCCTTCAATATTCCCAGCAGACACACTATCTGGGCCTGCCACCCCTCCTCCAACTTCTTTGTTGCAAACACCACTGCCTTTTTCCTCTTTGTTGAGTGCTCTGCAACCTCCAATGCCTCCAACTCCACCGGAGCCCTCCTCTTCCCCTTGCTGGTACCTGTGACTGTGTTTCCCTCCTTTTTGCACTGGTGGTGGTTGGAGGCCCTACAATTTGCACAGAAGCGTGCACATTTGTATCTGGCACTCCAAGCCACGGGACATACAGACAGAGTAGGGACACCTAGACTGCATCTCCCCTGACTCTGCCACCTCTGCCTCTTTTGCTTTCTCTGTTTTTTCCTTCTCCTTCTCTGCTTTCTCCATCTCAACTATCACCCTTTTTTCCTCGGCTTTTTGGGCCTCTGCTGCCTGCCATGCTTCCTCCTCTGCCTTTTTCTGCTCCTCCTTAAGCTGGTGCTTGGCCTTCACCATCTCTGCATGGAGGCGGGAATTTTTGCAAATTGTGTTTTTGAGGGCATTAGGCATAGTGGTGGTGGTTGTGATTTTGGGGGGTAATAGGTGTGGGTTTTGGATGTGACTGTCTAATTGAAGGAATTTTTGAATCAAACCCCCACATTAAATACTTTCATTCAAACTCAGCCTGGATTCTGCACACCACTTGCTACCAAAAAATTTGTCCACCAGAGAAATCCCACCCTAACCCCATTCAAATATGTCAACCAAAGTCCAGTCCTACAAAGCTATTTTGGGTCTCAAGGGTTTAGCCCTAAAAAAGGGATACTGTTATATCCATGCTATAAGCTATGGTTTCTGGACCTCCAAAAAGTCAAAGATCCTCAAGTCCAAGCTTCCAAATCTTTGGTACTCTTGAAATTACACTTCTCATGCTCTGTACCTCACCCCCACATGGCACTCTGGATATCTGCTCCAATTCTCCTGCCTGGCCTTTTAGTCCGCTATATGTATTCTCCACACATTCTCATATTCCTCATGGACTCTGTAATTTAGACCTTATGGTATACTCCCCTCACATACAATTTCCCCTTGCTAGATAAATATCCACATGAAACTCTGTACCTACATTATAAGTTACTCCTTATGAACTCCAACTGCTCCAATAGTATACAGTGACTCCAAAAACTGTTGCAATGTTTGGCCTAAACACAGTGTGCAAAGCACACCACTAACAGGCATGAGAATGTTGCTTGACTTTGGCGTTGTCAACAAAAGTACTTGGTCTTGGTTACAAAATGGTTCTTGGGACATCTGATTTGGCCCAGCGGCTGTGGAGATATGTTTATTTCAAAACAACAATACCATTGCAACAGTTTTTTTCACTTTTGGTATCAAAGGAGATATCTAGGGAATATCAGTACTTGGTATAGCCTCCTTTTGCCTTGAGCACTGCTTAAATCCTCCTAAACATGCTTTCAATTAAGTTATCTTCTCCCACTCCACTTGAATCCTCTCCCACAACTCCTCCATCCCATTAGGAGGATGTTCATACTCTGCAAGCCTTCTCTTGAGACAATCCCACCCATGTTTAATAGGATTAAGGTCAGGAAACTGTGCAGGCCACACCATAGTTCTAAATTCCTGATCATCTAGCCACTCCTTGACCTTTTTGCAGGTATGCTCGGGGTCATTGTCTTGCTAAAAGATGATGTCAAAAAGATTGAAACCACAATACTACAGGGTGTTCAGCAGCTCATCCTTCAAAATCTGAAGGTAAAGGTCCCCATCCATCTTACCATCAATTCTAGCAGCATACTCAACTCCCTCCCAAGTCATACAGCCCCAGATCATCATAGAACCTCCTTCAAACTTGACAGTTCCCTGTACCAATCTATCACTGAGCCCCTCACCTGGCTTTTTCCACACCCACTTGCATCCCAGGCAATTGATTTTGGTCTTATCAGACCATACAACCTTCTTCCAACTCAAAAATGAAAAAACTGTTGCAATGGTATTGCTGTTTTGAAATGGACATATCTCCACAGCGGCTGGGCTAAATCACATGAACCAGGAACCATTATGTAGCCAAGACCAAGTACTTTTGTTGACCCCACCAAAGTTAAACAACATTCTCATGCCTGTTAGTGGTGCACGAAGTGTTTAGGCCAAACATTGCAACGGTTTTTGGGGTCACTGTATGAGTTGTAGCTTTTGTACTCCGTTCCTGCAGTTTGAATATTAACTATTTCCTCCCACCTTTATAAAAATCTCCTTCTAAGTTTTTCGGTCCTTCTCAAAAGGACCCCCACCCCACTCCACCTTTCATCCTCTACTCCTACCCGTTCACTCCATCAAGTTAGGGACTAAGGTCTGCAAAAGGTCCTAATACACAACCTAAGTCAACTTCCAACCTTGTACTCTGTTATGCTCCCCACCCTATCTCTGCACTCCAAACTCCAATCACTCCGAAGGTCACAGTTCTGACACTGCTATTCAATTGAACAATGGGAGATTTATAAATCAGATCCACCTTCCAAGCGTCACAACTACCAGGCTCCTTATCCTTCTGTGACCCTTCTGATATATTCCTTCCTAAAACCCACCACACGACCAACAATGGGGTGTACAACGTCCATGGATGGATACATGCCAAATGGACCTAGCAGTGGTACATGCAAAATACTGCAAGCTTCATACACACCCAAGCAGAAAAGTAAGTGATGCTTCTACCCTAATTGTGTAATTACTCAGTTGCTCCATAGCATCAGACATTGAGGGCAAATTTAACATCAATATCAGTGATAAAAGGAAATTGAAAAACATATTTACCTCTTACAGTCACAAATGGGCACGCAATCTCTCACCTAGCAATATACTAGTACAGAAGTTATCTTGAGAGGCTTATAAATGTAGGGAATCCTTGAGTAAAGCTTGAACTGAAAAATGGGAAAATATGGAAGTTAAGCAGTCCAGGTTCAACAATGTGGAAGTGATGGAAGAGTCTTTTGCAGCTGCCGCGCAAGTAGAGCTTGAAGAAAGAAATTCCTGGATTTAATAGGAGCTGAAGCTTCAGAAGAAACTGGAGTGTCAAAGGGAGCTGGAGTATCAGAGGAAGCTGGAGTATCAGAGGGAACAGAAGAGTCAGAGGTCAGAAGAGTTCAAACAAGTCAACTTAGGAAAACAGCAAATATTGTGTGGAGGCTTAGACAGGGGATGGGACAACTCAGACACTGTTCTCTATTTTATGAATGTATGGCAATTTTTTGTTACTTCAAAGACCCTGCCTTCTGCAGCAGAAGCTTCCATTTTAACATGAATGCTACATTTTTCAGTGGACCTTCAGTTTAACTGTACACTTCCACATAATACTGCAATGTGCTACATAAAAGTTGCTTGAAACAGTTCTAAAAGGCATGTAAGGTGTCGGTTGGGCCCAGGTTTTCCCCAAAGGGCAATGTTATATCATTTTGGGACAAAAAAATTGTCCTCACTGTAAAGCGTCAAGTTAACTTTGAAGTAACTTTGCTATGATTTTTTGCAACTTTCCATTTTTACTGAGCATGATTAATGACACAGTGGTCCAGGCATGAAGTGTGGAGACCATGTGTCTAGGACTTTGACCAATAAGATTCAGTTGGAAACAACACAATTTGTACCAAATTACATAGAAATCTCACAAATGAACATATTTATATTTGATCTAATCTAATCTTCAATGTTCCCCACAATTTTGAGTCACAACTTTGATAGTGGCAATTTGATCAACATAGACTTGGACTTGTATGGTTTTTCGTGCAAAAAACACAGTGCACTACTGTGCAATGCATTTGTGCAGTGGATGCATGACTGTGCTACATAGTAGTGCACTCTCTTTCCCTCTCCCTATCATCCCCTCCCCCTCCCACTATGGAAAACTCAGTCAAACTATCCAACCAGCCAAATAATTATATTGTGGTTGCTTACCAATGTGCAAGGGAATCCAACACAAAGTATGCAAGAAGACATACTATTTGCACAAAAAATACCACAGCACCAGAGTCATCTCAGAAGAAGTAAAAAGGTCAATTTAAAACCACGCTATTGTAGCAGGCAAACTAATAGCACACTTGCTAAGTATGCAGTTAGCTCTAGGTTTAGTTTTTTTTAATAACTATCTTATAAGGTACTGAAATTAGCTTTGCTCTATTCACAGTGGCCACTAGCACCAGTGCCATATCAATACCCAACATATCCTATCACTACACCATCAGCTAGTAGTAGTAGCATACACTACTGCTTCAATAATTACTGAGGTATGTTACAACTACTCCAAAATTTGTTTGACCACCTTATCTTTTTCTGAATAAGTGTAAATAGGTTAACAAGCCAAAGTATGCTCATCTATTTACTATGTCTATACCTATACTTATAATCACTTACTAGATGCTTGCACTATCCATTAAGGGCTGAAAAACTACAAAGAAAACTTATTAAGTCATTCATAAAATTCTGTGATTATTGTCAAAGTGTATTTATACAATAATATTGAATGCTGTCCACAGTTAACAGTATAAGTATATAAAGACCAAACAGGAAATTGGGAGGATTTTCTAGTTTGTGGGAGTTCACTTTGTTACAGTAGTTTACTCTATGCATGTCATACAATAGTATTAGGAATAAATTTTGACAATTTGCTATATGTGGTTTCTGGCTATAGTAAAAGTGAATTTAGTATGATTGATCTGAAATAAGAATCCAGCAATATGATTTCTCTTATGCTCTATGGAAGCAGCCATAGTAGAGGAAAACTGTGTATATCACAAAAATGCTACTATAGCAGGTATAGCAAACAACTCAAAATAGTGCTGGTTAAGTTAAGGTTCAACTTAACTGGGAATGAGACTTGTACTATGCCTGGACAGCTGTACATAATGGTACATCAGTTGAGAACGGCCTTCCACAGGCTCAAAAAACAAATGTTGTTGACCTAGATTTTGGTAGGAGTAAGGATAGATACATATAAAATGATTTGTCAAAAAATTAGGTTAGTGATGCTTGTTTTTTGAGCCCATGGAAGGCCATTCATTCTCAACTGATGTAATGTTATCAACAGCTGTCCAGAAATAATATATAAAACAAGACTATAACAAAGCCATTGTTATACTAGACATGTCGGGACTCCGTATATGCAAGCCAGGAACAACGGTGAATCACTAGTAGAGTAGTGACAACTAGCTTTGAAAAAGACAATATCCACGTGTCCATCGCTGCAAATTACCTACGTGCGACTATATCGAAGCAACGCCTTGCTCCTGAACGTAGCATTGTACTGTAGGAGGTTATTGATATCCCGTACCCAATCATCTTCTTTCCCCGGACCTACTCCTTCGGTGTGGCGCTCGCTCCCATCCTCGGAAATCGAAGAACGATTGATACAAGGAACAGGAAATGGCGATACTTGAACCGTCACGGAATCTCCTGGATTCAATACATGAGATACACGCCCGTCCATTGAGACACCTGCCGCCGCACGACTGCGGTCACCAATCTATTGCAATCGATGTGAATCAAAACAACTCTGTTAGTTCAGGATGGTAAAAAAAACTAGTGTGAAAACTCACGCGAAGTGTAACGGAAGACGATGAGGGGAAAACGAGTGGGCGAAAAGAGAGGCTTCTTGGACATATAGGAACAAGAACTACTGCACTTAATGACGGGTGTACAATTGGACCTCCAGCAGACAGGGAATACGCTGTTGAGCCCGTTGGCGTCGAAACAATCACGCCGTCAGACTGACAATCAGTTAAGCGTTGATATCGAGCAGGTGATGATGCCCAGATGACGCACCACAGCCTCAGTGAGGTGCTGGCCATCAACATATATATCAATAGTGTTAAGATGGGGACTCGAGCCGCGATGGAGGGCTATTTCATTCATAACCTGCCACTCTTTGCCAATACACCCATGAAGATATATACACCTTAGGACAAGGAGAATACATCAAGAAACTCACCATCTTCATCCACTCCTATCTTTCGCCCATCGCCGTCGAAAAATGTGCAGGACAAACGCATACGGTTCAGAATGGTAGCCTTCCCTTGAAAGACACTCTCGAGTGCCTTGGCAAAATCATCGATATCTACAAAATAAAGCTGTTATTCTTGCGATCGGAATGGAATAGAGGGAGTGGCTCACGGAAAGGGAGTAAAAACCCAAGGGTGCCCATAGAAAAACTCAAGACAGGTGGGACAGCCCCAAGACTGAACAAGGATGCAGCATGCAAGATAGTGCCATCTCCACCAAGCGTCACAACTAGATCAACCTTTTCCGACTGGGAACCTGATGCAAGTTTCATTCACGCGGAAGGTGGTTGCGCTGCTGACGTACCTGGACGCCACACTTCTGCCCCAGCGGGGATGTCAGGTCTATCCTCAGCGAACACTCTGACCCCTGGATACGATGTCCGTACATGTCTACAAAATGGTGGTGTGGGATGTCAGCTCAGCTCTCAAGCGTTGCCCCGCCTCACGGCGAATTGACTCGATTCATTTTACTTACTCAAGAAAGTCATCAATTGCTTGTATCACAGGTTGAGTCCGTAATTTGTTTACTATGAGGATTGTTTTTGGAGGATGTGAGGATTCGTGTTGAATGCTATCTTCCCGATGGTGAGCAGTGTATTTCGACCATGATAACGAGCTGCACGAACGCTTGTGTCACCGACGCCGAGGCTAGCGAATTTGGCCTAGACTGGTGGGAGATCGACCTTCGTAAGATGAACCAGGTGAAGCGACACGACTGGGGAGAGAAAGCATGTGCTCTCCAAGATAGCCTCGGACTCATACACCGACGCAACGACGATAACATTGAATTTTGCGTGAGGGATGGTTGTCAAAGATGTACATTGGTGAGAGTTGCCACCGGCACTGAGAATTCAGGTCGCGGCCGGTTCGGACAGTTCTTCCATGACGGTAATTTAAAGGATATGTTAGGTCTCTTCAAATCAACTGCTTCACAAACGCCTATTCGTGCTTTGGCTCATTCACTCTGTGAGTTAAATAGCGCGACAAAACGCGAATAACGATTCATTGGACTTGCTGGTAATCAAAAGTCAGACAGCAGATGAATGCGGCAGCCTTCATGCCTTTGAAGCGCTCTCAAACTGTATACACATACAGTGCTAATGAGACGTACAGTCATATAATAGACTTGCTGTGCTTCTCTAAAAACAGACGACGTTTGGCGAGATGCGGTATGTCTGGTGTTCCTTCCATCTGCCTGTTTGTAAACACGTTGTTTACCGCCATTCTTAATGACTCTTCCCCAAGTAATACATAAATCCTGCAGTGGTATCGACTTTGGCCAAGCGCATTCTCCGTGACTTCTCCACAGTCTAGGTCGTCTCTCTTCTGTGTCACCAACACCGTTATGTCAGAGCAAAAATTGGCCACACCCCTCCCCACCAATCCTTCGACTCCTCAACAGCCATCCTTCCAGCTTAACAGGGATGCCCATAATACTTCATCAGGGGGCACCGTAACTCCAAAATCAGCATTCGCGTTCCAGACAAGCTCGACGCCTCTTTCTGTGCCGCAGGTCACCAAGTCTATCACGCCTGAACTTCTTGCCGCCAATGAACTAATGGCCAACATGAAGGCGACCTTGACAACACTCGGCAGAACATTTGACTGCCTTGGCGAGCAAACATACAGAATTTCTGCCCTAGGACCTGCTATTCAGGGCTCACACCAGGTAGCTAACATATGCATCGATTGTTTTACCATACTTCTCACCCACTTGAAGGTCTCCCTTATTCGTACACAGCTTAATGCACAGCATGAGAGGCAAGAAGCTCGTATGCAAGAGGTGAAGATATTGCTTCGTGATGTTCTCAAGGCGCAACTTGCACAGCATCTTAATGCACGCGTCGATACGATGGTGCATGAAAGAATTGAGCGCGAGGTGAAAGAACGAGTAACGAAACAGGTTTGATATTGTCTTAAGTTTGCAGAATTGTTGTTGACTTAGCACTTCTACCTAAGTTTAGGTTGGGAGTAGCAGACATGATCCGGGAAGAAATTGTTCAGCATAAGCTTCAAATCCTGCAGGTCCAAACAAATATATATAACTCGTAAGTACATGTACATTACTTACCGTTGTATGTCTCAGTAATGGATCTCTTTCCTCCTAGGGAAGCTCGAAGACATAATGCTCTTCTAGGGTCGAACACTGTGCACGAGGCTTTATGCCCTTTGCTTCGACCTTTGCGTGTGACAACACTTTCCGACCAGGAACCCAAAGCCACATCTCTGCGTGTGTTGGCTTACGAATTGCCTACACCCTCATCACTTTTCCCGCATAACTTGTCAGCTCTACTTGCCCTCAGTTACGAAACAACAAAAGCCCTTGTCTCTGACTATGATCTGGATCACGAGATGTCATTCGATACAAAGGGATCTGAAGGCGGTAGTGAATGGGAGCACAGAGATATGTATCTGAGCCACTTTATGGCTCACATAGGAGTAAGCACTACACAACTTGTCACCTGCAGGAAACTCATTTAGATCTTCGGAATATTGAATAGGTGCCTTTTCAAGTTGTTTCAGCTTCTCCTTCGCATGCATTACTTACAGCCCGGTGGAGATGAAGGCATATTGTGATAAGTTCTCTTGAATGTGGAGGAGAAGCGAAGGGCAGGCCCTGACTTAATATTTGTACCAAAACGAAACAGAGGCTGTCATGTGGCGACAAGAACCTTGGTCGTTAAAATGAATTTTTATATAAGGAAAATCCATGTTATCGTTGGACAATAGGTGCAAATGGTCTGGGGAGAAGGTGAATAACTCGCGAGTCGTTGGACTTGAGGCTGTCGGAACTTGATTAGTAGATAGAATCTTAAGTTTTCTAGCTGCCTATGTAGAGAAATAAGCAAGACCTTGAAGCATTGGAATAGCGGAACGAAACCAAAAAGACGACACACATTTTGGGGTGGTTCTGTGGTTTCTGGTCAACAGCACTCCTAGATGAAATCAAGTGTAGCTTGTGGGTAGGATTTGGCTAGGTCATACTAGCTTAGGCTGTGATAAAACTAAGTGAAAGGGCAGAATGCCCAACTACAATAAATGTCAATTTAAGGTAATCTCTATAAAATATAATGTAACATACCTCAGCCACTGCCTGAGAGGCTATAGAAACAACTGAGGTATTCCTATACTATGTCAGAAATTTCTGAGCAAAGTCACAACTGATTACAACAAGTTGTAATGCCACAACTAGGCTAGGGTATTGTAATAGTGATGGCAAGAGGCCAAATTGATGCAATGACAGTTACAATGGTGTCACAATTCATGTGTCAAATATTACAATCCCATTATAATTACATCTTGTGATATCACTATGTTGGTTATAGCAATGACCATAGCAGCATCATTGCATACAGAAATTGGGGCCGGGCTTATGATATTATCTATATATGATAAAGTTTGGTTTGGTTGGAACCTCTGAACCAATTAAAACCATGGGAAATTTGGTAAAATGACTTAAGAGGCTGTCATATCCATGCCGGGGGCCATAGTTCTGGAATTCCAAAAAGGACAGATTCTCAAGTTCAAACCCCTAAATCTTTGGTACTCTTGGAATTACACTCCTCTTGTTCTGCTGCACAGCATAGCCCTGTACCCCACCCCCACATGATACTCTGGATATTTGCCTCAATACTTCTGCATTGGACTTCTAGTCCACCATACATTTCCTTCACATGTTCTTGTATTCCTCATAAACTCTGTAGTTTAGACTCTATGGTACACTCTCCCCATATATGATTTCCCCTTGCTAGATAATTGTCCGCATGGAACTCTGTACCTACATTACAAGTTACTCCTTACAAACTCCCATCCCTCCAATAATATATAAGCCATAGCTCCTGTACCCTATTCCTGCAGTTTGAATATCAATTAATTCCCCTCACCTTTATTCAAGTCTCCTTCTAAGTTTTTCAGTTCTTCTCCAAAGGACCTTTACTCCACTCCACCTTTTATTCTCTGCTCTCACCCGTTCACTCCAACAAGTTAAGGACTAAGGTCTGTGGAAGGGCATAGTGCATGAGCTAAGTCAATTCCCATGTACTCCATTCCACTCCCCACCTCATCTCTGCACTCAAAACTCAGCTCCTCCAAAAGTCACACACCACAGGAATAAAACAGTAGCAAGCAGACCAGCTTGCTTCTAATATGTAACTGGAAGGTTGACTCTCAGTTTTTATCTAGCCAAGCTGTTATTTTTGTAGCATTTAAACGATCATATTTGTAAACAACTTTACTATATAGTTGTTGATTATTTGTATAAAAAATATGCTAGCTTAATGCTAGTTTAATATTATTATTTTAAGTTTTAACTTTAAGTTAGTGATGTTTGTTAGCTTGCTGATACTTAAACCCTAGCCACAAACCAGCCTTTGTTACATTGATGGGTTAATTACTAGTATTTTAAGTTTCATCTGTTAGCTTGCTGATACTGAAAAATTTGGCCACAAAATAGTCACATAACAGCAAGTACAACAAAGGCTGTTTTGTAAGTTAGTGTGACTATTTTGTGACTAGGTTTTTGTGTATCAGCAAGCAAATAGATGTCACAAACTCCACTTAATTGGAATTTAAAATACTGATATTAAACCAACGTATATTTTATACAAATAATAAGTAATTATTTAGTATAATTATTACAAATATAGTTTTTCAAACACCATACATATAACAGCTTGGTTTTATAGAAGCTAAAAGTCAATGAATTTGCTGCAAGAAAGTGCTCCACCACAGCAAGTTGTCACAATATTTCAAACTTGGATGCTCCTCAAACCATGCCTTTTTGATCATACCATAGAATGGTATTGTTGGTGGTTTTTTGTTAGATGCAGGAGGCCGGCAACATAGTTTTGTGATTAGTCCAAAAAAAGGTGTATTTCATGACAGTGTTTTTGCCACCATTGATCCTGCACCTTTTTGCAGGTGGTTTTGGCACAGTCAATAAAGCTTCTCCAAATCCTGTGACTTAATTATCTGTCTCCGCTGTCATACATGAAAATTGTTTCATGTATGAACATAGCATTACATTGTAACAACCAAGAGTTAGTTACTCTGGCACACAACTAGGACCAACTATAGAGATGATAATGAGGGAGTGGTTACCCTTTAGACTTCAACAAGTTAGTTGTGAGGATACAACAGGAGGACTCGCTGAGGAGTCTCCTTGATCTATATATACTACTACAGGTTTGTTTGTACATGTGTACTGTACAGTTGATAAAGGCAGTGGCTGATGATGTCATGGGGTTTAGCCCGTGTGACCAGCTCCACTGCGTGAGACTTGTAGCTAAAATAAGAAGAAGGGCAGTGCAGCGTGAGAAAGAGGAGTTTGAACAAAAGGGAAAGTGCTGCATGGCACAATGTGAGAAAACTACAGTAAAAGGTTAAAGAGGAGAATGAAAATTAAAGGTCCGAAAATGTGTTATCGTAACATCCATGACATATTGTAACTGAATTTCCCACAACATAATCTGCCTTGTTCTTAACAACCAATCACTCCGGTTTTTGGAGAGTAGGTGATACTTTCACACCCCTTTCAGTCTGGATATTTTTGGAGGGCTTCCAAATAAGGAAAATTTCCAAAAGTCTTGTTTTACTGTAGAACACTGTGCCTGACTGAGTCATATTTTGCTCCACATTTTCAAATTACCTTTCTGTTCTTAGTCTTGAAAAGTCCACTCTAGAATCAACTAGATCCCCAATAGATGATTCTGGCCTTTTAAATTCCCTTTAGTTATTTTGGTAATACCATTTGTAATTACCAACTAGGAAAGAGCTCCTATAGCCAAAAGGTATATAAGGAGGCCAACTTTCCATCTAATAAAAAAAGCTTTTACTTAGAAGCAGTCCCCACATAAGTGGACAACCACTCAAAAGCCAACTAGCTTTCACCTAGAAAGCATACAAGAGGTATTGCCCACCTAGGAAGCTCAGTCATCAAGTCACATCTGTCACAGACAATAGTAGTCCAAGTGTCATTACAGTTTGTGATTATTTATTATTTACCACAAGTAGCCCTAGTATTCTATAGTTCATCTCAAACTTATATCAGTTATTTATTGATCTGGTTGAAAGCTCATCTACAATCATTCACTGAAGCATAGTCAAATATTGCTTCAGTGTTCTATCGACCATCAGTGTATCATGGTTTGTCCTTTATCAAGTATAGGACACTATTATCTTTAATTAATTATTAGTCTCTCAATAAGCAAGGACTATTGTTGTCACACCTAGTGTTGGCTATATCTTGAAGCTAGTCATGTAATACTTCACCCTCACACGTCTACTCACATACTATCACTTGACCTTTATATCACCAAGGACATATCTACCATTGTTATATTAGTGTTCCAGAGCACAAGGGCTATTAACATACTCACAACAAAAGGGATAATTAATTTATACCCCACAAACAAACAATGTTATTACCCGTTGTCCAGCTTAGGTTGTAAACTTCCGATAACCTTAGGATAAAGAAACTTTGGTAGCTATCCCATATCAAACACTTTACCAACAAGACACTGCTACTACCAATTGGTTTTAGTCTTTGATGGCATGATGTGTGGCCTGAAATGCATAGAAGCGTGATATACTGTATGATTTGTGGTTAGTGACTATGTTTTTATTCTGACAGGGTTGATTACTCATATTTTTGCTTTTTTCTTCTACTTGAGGTATGGCCTTACGTCTCGCTTGTGTTACCTAGTATAAACCTGATTATTATTTAGCATTTTAGACAAAATGACACTGACTGTTAAGTGTTGTGAACAATGTCTATTGGCAAGTTGTTTGCCCATTTTTTCCCCTTCCCCTCCCTCTGTCTTGAGCAGTTTCCACTGTGCGCTAATATTTTTCCAATAGTTTTTCATCACTTGGAGTATTATGTCTTCTTGAAATGATCAATCTTCAATTTCTGGTGTAGATTTTGGATCAGTGTGTTTGCTCTATTGATATGTGAGTATGTCTCAAATATGTTTGCACTAAACCAACTGAACTAGCCTTTTTGTTTGCCAAGATGTAGTCAACCAACTCATTGGTAAAAATATTGTTGACAGTGTGATTGACTTGGTTTCCCCACTAAGGTCCCCATTGACATACCTCATCTTGTTCTAGATACGGTTTACCATTGGGTAGTGACTCCTTAGCAAGTAATTCCAACATGCAATCATTGTTGTTCAACCTACGGTCAATCCCTAGCATCTCCCACATTATATGTTTGATGGTAGGCTGTATGTTCAATATCAATATAAGCACATATTATAGCTCCCAAAGTGATTAAAGACTACCACATCTTGAGTTTTGGGTGCTGGTTGGATATATTCTTGTTTACACTTGTAGGTTTTCTAGCCACTTGTTTGTTGAAGGTTCACAGCTGATATGAGTCTGAGACTCTCAGCGGTGAGTGGTATTAATATTCTGATAGGAAGCATGCTGATTATTATTATAAGGTGTACAGGCAGAATATTCATCGTGCAAATGTGGATCATGGTGATACAAGAACAGATTAATGGATGGTGCTTGTGAAGAGACACCGCTGCTGTGCAAATGTAGAGTAGATACCATGTAAATTGGCTCTTTTGCAAAGTTAGGAGAGCGTCCAGGGTGGAACAATTGTGATTGGAGTCTGTGTTCTCTTCATCTGTTGTAAAAACTGATAATTGATGATTGTTGATGTTTTCTGGATAGTTAAATGGCCCGCTGAACAGATCACAATAGGAATGGGTGAGTTATTGGTTCAATTTCATTTGATGTACTGACAAAATCAAGTCTGGTTTCTGGTTGCATACTTGACAGCACACCTTAAGGTATGTACCCTATTCCTGTGTATGTGTAGACTCATTGGCTGCTCCTGCAGCTCTCACAGGACGACATTGAGTAGGCTGGTTAGGGAACATTGAATTGGCTTGTCAGGTTAGCAAACAGATCCTCTTGAGGTGTACAGTATATCAAGGGGATAAGGAGAATGAAGCAGGTAAAGGATGTGAGGCAACATTAAACTATAACAAAAACAAAACCTGTCTCCCACTGCACTTGCAGGGAGTAAGAGGTTCAATGAGCTTGAGGTCAACAGATGCTAGTAATTATAGCAAGTAGAGGACTTGGGAGTAAACTCAAGGATTTCAGTTGAGGAGTAAAGCGGGTAAATCAAGTAATAAAAAGCTAAAGAACTATACATGAGATGTGCAGGGCTTTTATAGCTAACCTTCTGTCCCTCAGACCGAAAGGGGAATAAACGAAAAGTGGTCTGAGGAATAAATCAACCAATAAGAAAAAGGAATAACTATTGTATGACTTTGAATAATTAATCAGCAGGTGAGAGAGTTGTACTAATAATAGGTGTTGTCACGTATGTTCAGGAACCGTATCCTCATGATAAGGTATGATCCTGACTAAAGCGTATCCAGGCACTGATGGGGCTTGGAGCTGGTTGGCAAGATGCTTACTACCAGCCCTTACCTATTGTGCTGGCTGGCTGGGAGTGATACCCAGTCTCTGATCTGCAATATAAAGTGGTAACAATGATTGAGAAAGCCTGTGAGGGCTATGAGAAGTAGAATAGCAAATGATACCTCTTGCCCTAGAGCCAAAGGTGTAACGGGGAAAACATTCGAAAACCAAGACATAGAGAAAATAATAAATGATCCTTACAAAGGAGGGGGGGGGCTGATTTTATTATTGATTTGACTAGTAGTACATTTGTGTCTATCTAGACTTTATTCATACCCTATATGCTTCAAAACTGCATCATATTGTGAGCTAATTAACAGTCAAAACTGGAGGACAGATATTTGACAGTGACTGTCTCCCAATTCTGGACAGTGGTTAATCAAACTCTTGGGAACAAGAGAGTCAATCACTTCAGACACAAGATAAAGTATAGGATCTGCAACATTCCATACCATTTTTTGATTGACATCACATGTCAATCTAAGCTCCAATTGATGTTCTGACAGACTATGAAAACACATTATCACAATGTGGCTATTTGGCCATTTCTGCAGTGATTCTGGTATATGGTCTGATACTATGGGATAATCCCACAAGGATGGTATCATCCCAGCCTTGCTAGGTCATCTGGGATGATACCATGGAAAACAAGCTCTTAGCTTTATGCATTGACACAGATGGTTGAAGCTAAATGCTTATGAAGTGGGGGTGACTGAAGTGCTGCCTTCGGCGGCATCCCTCTTGCTATGACCAATTCCCCCTCCCCCCCCTTCCTATACAAAATGCACCAGATCCTTAGGAGTGTAGTCACCCACCTCACCACTTTTTCGCCTCAGATTCAAGGAACTTGCGAGATTATTGCCTGACGATGAGCCGCTACGATAGGGCATCGTGAGAACAATAAAAGCACAGTCACGCGTGACTCAAATCCACTGTTATGTCAGTCAGCCAACCGAAAAGCGCCGGCACGACGCCTCATTTCAACTTCAACGTTCAACGTTTCACTTGTCCCGACGAGCAGTCAAACAGACACGTTCACATTTCAGGCTTGAGCTAGCTTTCGACTCTTCCAAGTTTTACCTGTTATTTTTCGTTGAAGAATCTCTTCTTCTCTTGCTTTACCATGGGCGGTGCTGGTGCGTTTTTTCTCGTCTTTTTCTTACTGGAGGTGATACTCAACGTCTTTGTATCATTTATTCTCCTTTCGACGTACTTTTCGTCGTCTATCGACACCATCTGAATAATATCGCATCGCTACTTAAAAACCACCCGCCGTTGCTCTACGCCCTCAGGCTGGCTATTCCTCTTCTCGGTCCTTATGGCCGCAGGTCTACTCTTCACGATGGTTTTCTTTGTAAGTACATCTTGACTATAATCGGCTGTCTACTAATTTTTTCCCTTATCTTTTGGCGTTCCATCCACCTTTTGCTCTGGGAACATTACTTCACACTTCACCGCCATACATCTCAACTTCATGGATTCGTCTTAGATCATAATGTTCTCCGACTTAGAATGCGATTACATTAACCCTATAGACCTATGTAACAAGCTCAATCAAGTATGTATTCTCTATTTTTATCTATAACTCCCATCCCTCATCATATACATTTACTCCGACTGCTCGTGAAGTTTGTCTTGCCAGAAAACATCGCACACGCTTTCCTGACATTTTTGTTTCTAATTTCGGGGCAATGGATTGCGTTCCTTTTGAATTTGCCGTTGGTTGTGTACAATGCAAATAAGTGCGTCTATCTTCACCTGCATCGTTGACTCCTCTGATTACGATACATTGTGTTTCGTTCCTCTGTGTTTTCTGCATAATTCTATTGGTCTTCGCCAACTAAACAGAATACGGAACAAAAATCATATGTACGACGCGACCGAAATTTTCCGCACGTTGTCTGGACACAAAAAAGAGAGTTTTATGAAGTTAGGGTTCTATCTCCTCTCGTTCTTCTACTATCTTTACCGGTACGCTAGTGACTATTTTCTGTGCCATCTTCCGCTGATAATCACATTATAGGATGATCGTGGCCCTCATTTCGGAGAGCGAGTGATCACCCTGTGCTCTTACCACACAGGGCGAAAGGAGGGGCAAGTTGGATTGTAAGGGGAGGGTAAGTGCTGAAGTGCCCAAGTGACGAAAATGAACCGAACGATTCCAATGATCCACATCAGACTACTAGAATGATCTCATGAGCGAAAGGGACGCGTCACGATGCAGCATGTTAGCGGTCAATTTAATTCTTGTTTATTATATCAACCTTTTCCAACCTCATTTCACCATATCCGATGCGATCCGGCTACAGTGACTAAAAACTAAGCCCATTTTCGTAACTAGGCTTACGATTTTTTCCTTCTGTCAGGAAGTTGTGGAGAAGACCTTGGTAGTTGGGTCATTGGTAGGGCTAGTGTGGTTGACTGAGCTGGTTGCGGATTGTTATTGGTTCACTTTAAATGGTTTCTTCTAGTTGTTCCAAATATTCGTTCTCCACTCCCTTGGACTAGTCGCCATGTATCCAAACGTGTGGGTCATACATGGCATTCTTATGCAAGGTAGGACACCAAAAATTCAACCTAATCAGTTGCAAGCGTCAATTACTTACGCCCAGTCAAAAGTGACAAGAGGCTGTGAGTGGCAGGTAGAGGAACCTAGTAGTAGTAAATTTTGCCTTTATAAGCCACTAATTCACAGCCAAAATCTCGACGAGACTCTACGAGAGAGCTATCAATATACAACCAGATCAAAGGCCTCTAAGAGCCTCTAATTTCAAACTTTCGTAAATAGTTGTCAGTAGAGCTACTTAAAGTCTGCTAGAGACGCTTGAAAATGACTGGATTGCTGGTACTAGTAAAAACGAGAGTGTACATCAAAAAAACTAGCTAGCGATGAGAGCTAAGACATGCGGAAAGACAGGGAGGAGATAACATGGTGGATTAATGAACTAGTTGATAGGTCTCACAGGATATTGGTAGTGTAAAGAGGAAGGAGGGAGAGACACAGTATCACACTGTGCGGTGGAAAAAGCCATGTTGCATTCGTACTCTAGTCTTCGCCGGTCTCGCCTTCCGGTGCAGACGGGGGTGGCGACATATTTCTTCATCGGTTTCATCATCTTCCTCATCTATGGTCGTACAATAGTGCCCGGAACCTGTTGTTGCAGATGGCACAGTGTTACGATAATACATTTTCAGACCTTTAATTTTTATTCTCCTCTTTAACCTTTTACTGTAGTTTTCACACTCTGTGCTATGCGGCACTTTTCCTTTTGTTCAAACTCCACTTTCTCACACTGCACTGCCTTTCTTTCTATTTTAGATACAAATGTCTCACGCAGTGGAGCTAGTCACACGGGCTGCGCCCTCTGACATCATTGGCCACTGCCTTCATCAACTGTATAGTACATACATACAAACAAACCTGTAGTAGTATGAATACCCCAATAGATCAAGGAGACTCTTCAGCGAGTCCTCCTGTTGTTTACCCACAACTAACTCGGTCCTACCTAAGGGGTAACCACTCCCTCATCACTACCTTTATAGTTGGTTCTAGTTGTGTGCCGGAGTAACTAATTTTTGGTTGTTACACACAGTGCCCTTCATCGGTTTCATCATCTTCCTCGTCTATGGTCGTATGATAGTGCCCGGAACCTGTTGTTGCAGATGGCACAGTGCTGGGTGTGGCTGGTTCGGGGGTGGGTGTGGTGCGCTCACTCGGCTGCTGTGAAGATTAGGGATAGTTAACAAGGTGTATGTATGACTTTACGCACCAAAAAGTAGCCAAAATCATCATTGATTTTGTCCGGAGTAGTCTGGAAGAGACCACCCGAAGCTAGAGAATCCTTTTCTGGCTGAAGCTGCTCATGCTGTTGGCCGTCTGGTGTATCTGGGGAGATAGGGGTGGTCCTTCAGGACAGAGTGCCAGCTGTGCGAACCTTGCGACGTTTACAAGGCAGAGCACGAGCTTTCGGTGTAATGCCAGCTTCTTCTCGTAGCTCTCACAGTGGCAGTTCCCTCGGATTTGCAAAACTTCTCGTGCCAGTGAAAAGCGCCCCAAAAAACCTTTGTGAGAACACCCTTGCAGTGTCTTTGGCAGTCACAAAGATACTCTTTTGCCATATTGAAGGTAGATGTTGCCTTGATCGATAGAGAAAGCTCAAAGGGAGGGAAGGGTATCACAGGAAGGGACATCAGGAAAAATGGGGGTAGCTATATAGAGCTCTATAGCACTATGAGTACTCATAAAGCTGTTATAGTGGTCAAACCTGTTATAGAACCTTTGCCATCTATAAAGCCTCATATAGCTCTATAAATGCTCTTATAGATGTTGGAAATTGTTGTGTGGCCATTAAAAAAAATTAACACAGACAGGATTTGAACTCTCAACCTGCTAGTCAGCTTTTAGGGGACTAAGCAACCTATAACCACACATTGCATTTATCCACTACACCATGAGAGCTTATAAAATGTGTTATACAGGTGTTATATATTGACTTTTTATGGACTTATATTATTTTTTTACTCATTGTCACCACTTATATTTGGATAAATCATTATTCTTATTTTATGAATATCAAAGATAGAGACTACTATTTCACTAATACAGGCTACATAATTAATTAATACTGTATGATTTATTAGCCCTTTTAAGCACCTTGAACTATATTACAACTATGACCTTTACAGCTATAGGAGCTATGTAGGCTGCTATAGGCTATAAGAGCACTTATAGTACCTTGCCTATAATAATATACTTGACTCCAAACACTTCTGACCTCTTTCTATTATTGAACAAGTTTATTAGATTAATCCAGAGTTTGAGGGAATTATAGATACTTCTCCCCTTGGTTAATTTTTTGCCTACTATATTAAGAACAAAGCTTGAAGGAAGTGTCTAGCCACTTGCTGAGAGCAATCAGGGACTGGAAACTAGAGTCCAATGTGAGTAACTAGAGAATAGGAAGCATTGGACTCTGCAGTACTGTCCGATGTTTTGTAAACAAAGGTAAACAAAGCAGCCACAAAGGCGAAATAATAGAGAACACAATCAATAGTGAATGGTAGAGGGATAGATAGAAAAAGGAATGAAAATATAGAGGTAGCACAAAGGTGCAGAATCACCAAAACTAACACTCCCCCCTGATGCTGCACCTCCCAAGCATCAGCTCCCCCCTGCTCTAATCAGTCCCATCATCTTCCTGAACACTTCGACTTTAGGCTTGGCAAGAGCCTTGGTCAACAAGTCTGCAGGCATTTCAGCAGTGGGAACAAAGTAGGAGCAATCTGCCCAGAGTCAACAACATCTCTCAACCAGTGCCATCGCAAATCAAGGTGTTTCATGCGACCATGGTGCTCAGGATTCTTGGATACAGAGATGGCAGATTGGTTGTCAATGTGAAGGGTGGAAGGAGAGGTGATAGGATAGCCCATTTCCTTCAACAGATTTCGCATCCAGCAGATCTCTTTGCCAGCCTCAACAGCAGCAATATATTCTGCTTCAGTGGTGGATAGAGCAACAATGTTCTGAAGCTTGGAGCTCCAGGAGACAGCACCAGATCCCATCTTGACAATATAGGCACCAGTAGAACGACCAGAGTCCTTGTCACCACCATGATCGGCATCAGAGAAAGTGGTGAAGAGTTCAGTGGAATTGGGATCAGGACCAAGGACAAGGGAGTGATCAAGGGTGCCTTGCAAGTAGCGAAACAAGTGCTTGACAGCGCTCCAGTGAGTGAGACCAGGATTAGAGTTATATCTGGCAAGGACTCCAACAGTGTAGGCAATGTCAGGACGAGTGGTGGTGGCCAAATACATCAGAGCACCAACAGCAGCAAGGTAGGGAATGTCCTTCATCATAGCAGCATCACTGGATGTCTTGGGAGACATGTCCTTGGTGAGGCGCAAACCAGGATCCATAGGAGTGGACACAGGTTTGCAGTCCTTCATGCCAAAGCGCTCCAGAATGTCCAGAGTGTACTGATGTTGGGACAAGGATATAGTGCAATTGCTGATGTCTCTGGTGATGGATATGCCAAGTAGGTAGGAAGTAGGGCCAAGATCACGAAGCTTGAAGTGCTGGGAGAGATCCTTGACAGCTTGGTCAAGTGCAGAAGTAGAAGTGGATGCCAGTGTCATGTCATCAACAAAGACAGGCAGGATAATGCGCACATCAGCTCTGTTAAAGACATAGATGGCAGAGTCTGAATAAGTACGCTTGAATCCGAGTTTTTCAAGCACAGTGTGCATCTTCTGGTTCCACATTCTGCCTCCCTGCTTTGTCCCATAGATGGCCTTGTCCAACTGGCAAACAAGATTGCGAGGACCCTGATGGAATCCCTCTGGCTGGTGCATGTAGACCTTGACATCCATGACTCCATTGAGGAATGCATGGGAAATGTCAATGGAGCGCAAATGGAGGTTGTGGATGGCTGCAATGGCAAGGACAACTCTGATGGACGATATACGGACAGTGGGTGCAAATATTTCGAGGAAATCAAAGCCAGGGCGCTGGTTATAACCTTTGGCCACATATCTGGCCTTGTAGCGCTCAACAGTGCCATCTGAGTTGCGCTTGATCTTGAAGACCCACTTGCCACCAATTGCCTTGACTCCAGGAGGTAGTTCCACTAGTGACCAAGTACCATTGCGCTCATGAGCTTGGAGCTCTTCCATGGCTGCCTCTCTCCACTTGTTCGCATCTGGGCGCCTCATAGCGTCTGCAAACGACCTAGGTTCAGCAGAATCACCAAAGTGGGCCATTTGATCACCATCTGCCTCAGAATCACTGTCACTGTCAATGGCAGGAGTGGGTTCTCTGTGTTGAACCCACCACTCTCCAGGTGGTTTCTTAGCCCTAACAGGACGTCTGAGAGCAAGAGGCATATCAGGAGATGGTGAACGATGAAGAGGTTGGTCTGGGAGTACAGGAGGCTGATTTACAGGAGGTTCTGGATCAAGGTCCAAATGAGGCCCATTGTCAGGCAATGGCTGAGGCTGCTGAAGCGCAGCTGGTGGGCCCATATCTCCCCCTGGACCTGGTGCAGGCACATCCTCAATCAGGCCCAATGGCATGGATAGCGCAGGTGGAGTAGGAGGTGGAGCTGGAGGTGGGACATTGTCAGAAGACCTCTTCAAGCCAGGGAAGTAGCGCTCATCAAAATCAGCTCTCTCAGAGATAACAGTGCGCTTGGTGGTAGGATTGTAGAACTTCCATCCCTTGTACCCCTCAGGGTAACCAATGAACACACATTTCTCCATATGAGAGCCAAAGACGCCCCTCTTGTCCTTTTGTACATGCACATAGGCAGTGCAGCCCCAAACGCGAAGGTGAGACATGTCAGGCTTGCGTCCATACCACAGCTCAAAGGGAGTGGCATGGGCCACTGCATCAGTGGGACACCTGTTCCAGACATGCACCAAAGCGGACAGACATTCACCCCAAAAGCTATTAGGCAATCCAGACTCTGATAACATGGCAGTGATACGCTCAGTCAGAAGTCTGTTTGCTCGCTCTGCCACACCGTTCTGCTGAGGACGATTCCTGGTGGTATGCTGTCTCACAATCCCATGGTCATCTGTGAATTGCTCAAATTCCTTGGACATGTACTCTCCCCCTTTGTCATCACGCAGAGCCTTGATTTTGCGCTCCAATTGAGTCTCAGCATAAGCCTTGAATCTCTTGAAAGCATCAAAGACATCTGACTTGGCCTTGAGAGGCACAACAACACGGAATCGACTGTGATCATCAATGAAGGTGACCCAGTAGCGATAACCAGAGAATGTGGGGGAAGAGACTTGGTGAACATCAGAGTGGATGAGGTCCAAAGGATGAGCAGAGCGAGTATCAGATGAGGGGAATGGATTGGCATGCATCTTGCCAGACAAGCACGGTTCACAGACAGGATCAGGAGCAGCCTTGGAGTCCAGTGTCAGCCCAGTAACCAGATCTCTCTGTATCAGTCTCTTGACATCAGCATGATGGTGATGAGCCAATCTGCGATGCCAGAGCGTCAAATCAAGTGGTATAGTCACAGTGAAATGTCCCAGTTCAACACAAGCAGCAGTAGATCCATCAAGGAATGCTGCATTGTTGTCATTGATAGTTGCAGTGAACAAGAGAGTGTTGTCACGCATAAAGGACATGGAATGAGACGAAATGGTGACATTGAAACCACTTTGACGAGTTAAATACAAGACTGAGAGGAGATTATTTCGAAGATCTGGTACATGGAGCACTCTAGAGAATTCCACAGCCCTAGCCACTTTGCCATTCATCACAGGATTAAACACCACAGTACCAACACCAGCTGAATAGACGACAGTGTGATCAGCCAGCTTGATTGGCACACAATATGGGGTATAGTGGTGCACCCAATGACGATGAGGTGTCATATGAGAAGTGGTGCCTGTGTCTGCATTCCAATCAACGTCAGCATCAAGTTGGAGAGGGCAGTGAGGATCAGAGGGATGAATGGGACGAAGACTTGCATTTCCAGCTGATTCAGTGACCACAGTAGATGAATTGGCATTATTGGGCGAAGATTTGGGCTGCTGAGAGGTATTCTGAGAGTTGCTGGAGCCTGCCTGAGCCTTATTGCCACGCTTGTAGCGGTTCTTAGCGCCCTCCACCGCCTGTTGGCGACTGATAACATATCTGTGGCATTTATCCTGGGTATGACCAAGTAAACCACAGAAATCATACTGAATGCGAGTAGAGGTGGTGGATTGGTTGCAATGATGGCAGTTAGGATGGGTGCAGGTGCTATTGGCAGTGGTAGACGAAGAATGCAAGGCAGAATCGACTTCAGCACGACGACGGCGATTGACCTCTTCAGCAAGGAAAGCATCCCTGAGCTGGGTCTTGTCCAAGGTGCCCAGAAGCAGTAAAGATGAAGTGAAGTGGGCATACTGATCAGGAAGCGCCCTAATCATGGCCATACATGTCAGTTCATCGTCCAATTCAGCCAATTTAAAGCCTGTAGGACGAAGATTTTGAATCTGATGCATGCCTTCGTCAATCCTGGTCATGAGAGACTGCAGGGACTCGTCCTCCTTCTTTCTGATAGAGAAGAAGTCGTCATAGGCGTTAAATCTCGTCCCAGGCTTCTTAGAGACGTGCACAATGGCCAGTTTCTCCCAGATCTTGACAGGATCATCAATGATGCCATCAAGATGGATGCGCTGCTCTTTGG